GACGCGGAGAGAAGAAGCGAGAAAACGATACGGCACATCGTCGTTCCATGTAGCCAGGCGCCTAGTGTACATCCTCATTTAAATGAAATAAATCTTGTTACGAGTAATTTTCGTCCGGTCGGCAAGCCCGAGATGGTAAAGAGAGGAGATAGAAAGGCCTTTTAAGCCGGTGTGCCCGAGCGATGCGAGACAAATGGATTTCGCTCCATCACTCGGAGACCCCCTTACGCCGCACAATGAATGCTCTTGCGTGCCGCATTCAGAGCGCCGCGTATATTCTTACGTTTAGACAAAACCCCCGCTCTAAATTTAATATTCGCACACTGTTCGGCGTTGTGTGTATTGTTCGACAAATACGCACGACGATTTACACGGCGTGTATTCACAAATCCCGAAATCAATCGTGTGCGCGCGTTTTTCGAAATTTCTTTGGAAGCGATTACATTATAGGAATGCGTGTAAAGCATTTATCTTATCGCGACAATTTTATCAAATTTTATCTTTTCTAAGAGACGAGAAAAGGAATATATATTTTTAAAAAAACAACTTATGTCGGAACGCGTTGCGACGAAGTTTTAAAAATTTCAAACACTGCTGCATATTGATGATCTCCGTTTGAAATAGGCGCCTACGGTCGCAAGTATCACATCCTTTACCTCGAATATGACATTGTCTAGCGTATAAACGCGCTACCAAGTTCCGAAACCAAAAAAAAAAAAAAGATATAAAAGTGAAAACAACACGAGGATGATACTATCGGGTCGGTTTTCTTGGAAGCTCGCGTGCCTGTTTGCGGTTGGCACGAATTATCAGAAGCTTCCCCTTGCTCGCGCGCTTTGCGCAAGGCATGTATCGAAACGAGATATTAATTTGATGCAGTTGATAGCCACGCAAAAAAAAAAAAAACACACAAATCGATGGCAAATAATACGGCCGGATCTTACCTTTAGCGCTTTTATATCGAAGCGCGTGATGTGCGCGCGCGAGCACAGCTATAATCGCTGATGCTATCTATTAAAAAAAAAAAAAAAACCCAATAATCGTATTTTTACGAGCAATCGGTAAGAAAAGAGTGACACGCGGCTGTATATAAATCCAACGTGAAATTTTTGTGTGAATTCTGTGACCACACACACACACACATTATTAAATTCAGTCGAGCAGACGTCGTTAATTATTCATAAGTTTAAACTGTGTCGACTGCGTGACAACATATGTCGATCATTTAGAGCGTAAAAAACCCGTATAAGGGTTGGCCGGGGCGATGTATGTTACGTATAGTAGTCGCGCGCGAGTTCCGTAATTAATGACGTATATTAAGCACGAAGCTTTTTATAACCGGAGTATTTTATCGCGACGTAAAATTTCTTTCGTGAGAAGTTACTTTCACGAGAAAAATTCTCCAAAGAAGAACCGAACGACAAAAATACCGATCCCTTTTCTCGCCTTTCTCTCCGCGTTCTTCCTGTACGATTCAATTTATACAGTTTTTTTTTCCTAAGTCCGCGCGTCTTTGTTCATCGATCCTGACTGGTGGTGCATCCCGAGCGAAAAAGTAAAGAACGCATTGACGAAAGAAGACAAGTGAAAGAAGTCAGATAAGCTCTTCTTCTTCTCCCCTACCTACATACGAAAGGGAGGAAAAGCATACGGTTTGTTATTTCGTTTCGCTTCGTCCGACGGGACAGCGAATTATTTGAAGATAAAAATCTCATTATCAAAATGTCAAGGCTGCAATAAATGTAGAATCGTAAGCACGAGTGTCTGTACGAAGTTTGAATATTTGATATGTTCCGAACACTTTCTGTGTATCAAGATGATTAATTCTCCTTCATTTTTCCTTTTTTTAAAATTATACGAGAAGTATTTACGTTGACGAATATACTCTCTTAAAACGATCATTTATTAGTATCGAATATATCAAATTTTGTTCTTATTTGTGCCTTGATCAAGTTTCCTCTTTTCTTTCTCTCTCTCTTTTCTATTTATTCTCCCTAAAATTCTATGTGGTCGCGCAGAAAGCACCAAAACCGTTTAAAAGCGTCACACCCCTCACGGTAAATGCTATCGAGAGGCAGTTTTCCTATTCTTTTAGACTACGAAGTTCTTACGATCGAAAGTAAACATCTAAGCACTCTACAAACGTATCCGAAACTGTATGACGGAGAAGGGAGGAAGAGAAGACGAAACGGCCGGGTGATTTCTACTGCCTCAAAAGCGCGCGCCTCTGTTGCTCTCGTTCGCTTTTTAAAAGGGGTCTCGAGAAACCCTCTTCAAGTTCCGTCGGTCTTTTATGGTGACAAAGTGGATCGATCTCGTCAGTGTCTGCTCGCGCGCTCGTCCTGCCACTAGATATCTTGCAGAGGCCCAGATTCACCGTTCAATCTCTTCGAAAACTTTTCACTCACAGTTTTGCATCGCACAAAAAGCTCTGTTTTTCTTCCCTTCTCTCTCCCGCCCTGCTTTTCTCATTAATTGTATCGTTTTGATACTGTCTCGTTTGATTGCATTATGTTGACATCGAGAGAAACAATTTCTTGTTTTTCTTTCTCTCACTGTTTTTTTTTCAATACTTTTCATATCCGACATGTAAAATTCATCGCGTCAACGTATCGCGATGTTGACGTATCGACTGTACATTACAGTCGCCACTTACAAACCCGATTTGTTCCGTGGAACTTCCTCAAATACGTATTATTATTCTTGGCAATTTCCAAATTTCGCATTCGTGAATAAGTATGTTGTGATTCCTACATGCAACGTGTTGTTCGATTGTGCCTGCGCGTAATTTCTGCGTGCAACCAGCCATTACGCTGAAAAGCGCTCATTACGTCTTCTTTCCCAGCGTATATTTACACGCTATTCTAACGAGCCGCTATACGTTCCCCGGCTTCGGAAGAACTCTGTACTGTCGCCGCCAAGGGGCTTAAAATCTATATACGGAGGGAAGGATTTTGATACGAGCACTCTGTTAGAAACCGAGCGTCACTAATTGTGACTATTGTGTCAAAATAAAAAAAAAATATATATATATATAGAACATCTATGTAATATTAAACAATCAGTGATATTATTGAGTCGATAATGATTACAAAACTTAGGTCTTGATTAATAAGCGAAATAACGTTGATTATACGTAATTGTTAATATACGTAATTGTTTTGTACAAATTTAATATTTTCAAAAATGATTTTTTTATAGAATTAATAATTTTAATACAATTTTGTTATCGCGCCCATTTGCAAAGGTCTAAATTTCTTTTAATAATAAGGCAGTACAAGATCTACTAAGAGGCTTCCGAAGTGTCAAAATCTCGCGTGTGTGCATGCTCGCGATCGGTCGATATCAATCGACCAATCGATCAGTTACTTCGAGAATTTGAAAAGTGCGCCACGCAATATGCACAAGCGTCCGTGACGATTCGCGTATCCCGCCGCTTCGTAATTGATCCCGTAGTCTCCGTAGTCGAGAACAAGCTTCAACCTCCCGGGTAGAAAGCTAACGCGTTATAACGACAGGCACGGCGCTACGCGCACGAAATCAGATGTTAATGGCGTTTCCGTGCTAGGTGAATTACACAGCACCCCGGCGTAATTGCAGACGTTCGCGTATCGCGTACGTGTATGTCGTACTTAACAGCTCGCAGCGGGATGTTGCGAGTTCCGCGTCGCGCCGCGGTAAAACGAAATTTCGTCTTAATTTGGCGGACCGCTATTACATCCTATGGCTAATTCGTTGCAGCAGCGCAAACTGTATTAGTCGCGGTTGGCAGAAGACGCTTGATCCGAAGCGCGTGTCTTGTTATCTCCGCTCTCTTTTCGACTTCGAGGAACGGAGCAGCCAACGTCTGCTCCGTCTGAAGAAAGAGGTCTGTCGAAATTGTGCCGATAAACTTTAAGTAGGGCCGTCTGGCACTTCAAACGCGCGCGCTAAATCGATGGCGGCTCGAAATCTCGACTTTCTGTTACGTTATCGGCAGCGCGCAACAAACCGCGCAAGCTTTACTCAGATTAATCGACGAATGCACACGTAGTTTCTGTTACAGTAGTTTCTATTATAGATTTTTTCGAATTGGGATGCACACACATCTACAGGATAAAAGTGCAATTGGAAAATCGCAAAATATTTTTAAAAAAATGGAAATAAAGTTCGAACGCGAAATACAATTTTCTATAGTACACTGAATTCCAATAACGCCTTCTCGCAAAAATCGGCACAAATTTTCGATACGGATTTGTTGCTTTGTTGAAAACTAATCTAATAGAATGCATAAATATCTAAATATTTCAGACGAAACGCGCATGGAATTGCTTTGGAGTTGATTCATGGGGTGAACTTTATGCGAAAAGTCATTATTACTTGAACTAAGTGTGTTTATTCAAATGTTTGTTACTAATAAATACGAGCAACGACCTGCAAATGTCTTTACACCTGAAGTTGGCGCGCACTAACGCCGCAACTTTACGTCGCGCTTTAGGTGTAAGGGGATATACACTCTACTATCCGTACACAATCAATTCATATTTTCAATTTACAGAGCACGTAAAAAAGCACGAAAACCGACATGTCAAAAAGATTTATATTTCAAAATTTATGTTTTATTAGCGCAAATCTGCAATGTTTTATTATTGAAATTTCATGTATAAAATCGTATCTCAACAAAGTGAGCACACACCAATTCATCGGAGCAAACAAAACAGTTTAGCAACAACAACAACAACAACAAGAGCGAGTTGCGCAAAAAAGCAAGTGCATATTTGCACGTTACAAAAACGATCGCGATCTCGACGAACACATTAATTACAAACATAAGCGCGTTTGTACCCTGCAGCGCAATACTTCGAAACAAAACGCGCGCTATACGAATTGCTCTCCGAAGTCCGACGTAATATCAATTGCGAGAGTAATGTCGCATTTTTTTTTTTTTTTTTTTTGATATTATATTTATCGCGAAAATCTCCACTATGTAATTTTTCAAAGATACATGTGCAATTACTCACCGATCGAGCCGGCGATGTCACTTTTCCCGCGGCGCGTTCGAATTTCTCTTAGCCGGGAATCGAGGAATTTTCGACCGAGAGGAAAAACTCTCGCGTAACGAAGAGACGAACTGGCCAGAGAAGAGGGAGAAGAAGAAAGGTGCGGTCGATTACCACTTCGTCATTTCGCAGCGGGTCTCGTCAAGCAAGAAATTACGAAAATGATCACGCGTCTCGTCGCGTTCGGCTTTTACGTTTGAGAAACCGTGATAAAAGAGCCCTGCCCGCCGTTGCACTCGTACGTACAACCGTTCGCCTCGATGTCTCGCGCTCAACTGGTCTCCGCTCGTTGGCGCGGATTCCTCGCCGGCCAATCGGCGTCGAGACTGCGCGGCGCGTCGCGCCGCTGCTCCGCTCTCCTCATGTTGTATACCGTGCCTTAGGTTTAACCCCCTATCACAGAAGGGAACCGTCGCTCATCCCCTCTCGATCGCGCACATGGAATTTCTCTCCGTTGTCTTTTTCGTGTATTACGCGCGCGCGCTTTAGAAGGGAACGTCGTAGCGAGGGTCGTTGTGTATGTATATGCAAGCGTATGTGCGTGTGTGCGCACGGAGACGGCACACGTTACCTTAGGTGCGAATTTCAAGACGAATTTCAATGGCCTCGCCAACCATGGTCAATCTCGTATTCGCGCACTGACGACTGTAACCCCGACGTTTGCTTTAGTCCCGAGATTACGACACGGCGAAATTACAATATCAAGGAGTTATCGCAAACGCGTAAATGTCATTTGAAATTTACGTGCCGGTAAAGATAAGAACGTAAAAAAATATGGAATATATTTCATTTGCAGTGGTATTTATCACCGCGTGTACTTATCGTTTCCCCTTTGCTCCGGTTCCTCTCTCTCTCTCGCTCTTGTGCTCTTTCTCTGATAATTCCATCAGGGGCTCAACATAATGCTTTTTTCACCCGCCTTTGGCGCGCCGTGACAAGGCGCTCTATATACGCAGACCTCCCGTTTCGATGCAAAAATTTTTCTGGAAACGACTTTTTCGTTCAACCGTGCGAGTTCACGAAGTATCCCCCAAGACACTCATCCACGTGTTATTCGAATATCTCGGGAAATTCCGTCGGGAATCGTATTGCATAACATTTTGAGAAAAAAACGCAGCAAATGTTTTCTCGCTATGTAATGTATCTCCTTCTGTTAACGCGTTCTTGTCCAATGCTTCATCCTTATGACACTTCTCATTTGCCCATTATCTGCTGTTTCGTGCCTGAAGTTCAAGTCACAACAAACTCATAAAATATTCATATCAGCAAAAAGCAAACATTGCAAAAAGAATCCTATATATGTTCTTTTATTTTCAAGCAACTGTACGATGTACAATAATTCAAGATATCACGAGTTTACTTATGCAAGGAACACGTGTTGACGGTGAATACCGCGCGAAATTCCATATGACGGGCATATCGATCTAATTTGCATTTCTCGGTGCAACTTCCGTGCACGCTGAAACACATTTCCGCGCGTAGCGAGAGAAGGTGAGAAACGTCTCGAAAAAAATATATTATACGCCTCACGGTTCCGCCTTCGACGGAAACTCCGATCCGTATCGGTGGTTCATCGTTTACGCCGGCGGCTGCGCGTTGCGCAACTCGCAAACGTCGGGTCCGGTTTTCGCATCCCGCCGCAAGTAGGATTTAAGTAAGTTCTTAACGAGCGTGTCTAGTTGCTCTTATCGGGGCGGTCCAGAGTGGCGCTAATATGGCCGCGTCCGTCCATATTCCAAACCCCTGATAGACCACCACCGCGCGCGCTGCTCTCGGGCAGTAGCCGACGAGAAGCTTATCAGATCGCCGAAATAGAGTTTTAGATTAGATTCAGAGACCGGTTCGCGCGCGCGGACGCCGGGACCGCGCGCATAAGGACTTTTTAATGCATTCGCCGTTAAGAACTCGATTCAAACTCCCTAAACGAGTTACGGCAAAGTTGTGTTCCCTCTTCCGCGCGCGCACTCGCGGATGGCCTCTTTCAGACCGCTTCTTTCTTCTTATCGGCCGATCTCGCGCTTCCTGTTCTCTTTCTCTCCCGCCGTGTTATACCTCCTACGTGCTCTCCCTCTGTAAAAAGAGGCACCGGAAACCGTCGCGCGAATCAACCGGCCGTTGTCGCCAATCTTCGGAGTTCTTTTTAAGGCCTGTTTCGGCGCAACACGCGCGTCTGTTCTCATTAAAAGGCTCGTGAATTTATCTCCGATAAGCTATCTTCTTGGTTTAAAAGTCCAGTGTGACGCGGAGTCAAATAGCGTTGAAACGAGATTTCGCCGATCGATTTCACCGCGTTCTCTCTCTCTCTCTCTCGACACGAAGCGCGAAGTGTTATCGGAAGCATCGTATTTAATGAAAATCTATATACGTTGTATATTTTACTACACACAATTGCTATTAAAAATACAATATTTATATTCTGTTTAAGAGAGAATTATTGAACACATTTTTTCGAATAACCGATAATATTCGCCGATTAATTTTTGTTTGTACGTATATAATAGTTATTTGATTGTTACTTGTATAATGATAAACTTATAAAAGATCGTGCGATGATTTTGAGTGAATTTTCTTTTTAATTATTATATTTAAAAAATCCAAAACTGATGCTTTAGATTGTGTTGCATAATCACCGGTACATAATCAAGAATTTAGATTTGTTGTATTGCTATACGCAAAACTCGTTTCTATTGCATATTCATATGTTTGCAAGTATATAGAGACTACGATCGATTTGCATTCCTGTGTGGCAACGCTTCACTTCATCGAAACGCATTTCTGAATGCCGAAGTCGCGAAATGTCGACGAGAGATTTAGCGTTAAGAATGAATTCATTCACCGTACACAAAAGAATCTCTTATAATCCTCGATTCCCGTTTGCCCTATTTGATCGTAAATGCAAACACGATTGGCCGTTGACATTCTGCAATTTTGCAAACTAAAATACAGCTGTGACGATTATTCCACATATTGCAGTAACAAATTTGTACGCATTAGGAAAGGTATTTGATACTGCAAAACGTTCACTGATAACAGATCATACAGCAATTCAAGTGAACCGTTTGTTACACGTGTTGCGTATTCTCTTTGATGCTCACTCGTGATATTTTTTTTTCCGTCAATGTATTTGCTTTGCGCGATTATTACATATAAATGCGCCAACCGCCATTATCCGAGTTCAAATTGAAGTTAATATTGAATTCTGTGGAGAAAATAGAGATGATGAAAATATGTAAATTATTATTATAAACATTATGTAAATTATATAGAATAATCATTTTTTGTTTCTCCTCTTAATATGTCAATTGATATAATTAACATTATTGCATTCATTTGCATGTCTTCTGTTTTTAAATTTGAACGAATACAAAGCGATCGTAAATAAATGTGATCGTACGTACGTGTTGCATATATCCGTGTGCGGGATGCGACAAAAAAACAGAACGACGGCACCACTGTCTCGATCGGATAAGAGCCCGCAAGCATATTTCGCTCCGGGATGTCGTGATCCATTTCCTGCGCGCGACTTAAGCGTTGCCGATCTCCGTGACCTTATTTTGCAACGACGCGGCAGGAAGCGAAGACGAAGAAAAGAAGACGACTTCGAGAGACGGAGGAGAAGAGAAATGAAAGCTTGGCGCCCTTCGCCAAGCCGTGACACGACAGGAGCGCGCGATTGGGTCGGTTCGCCGACGATCCTGTCACCTCGTCGGTCGTCACGATCCAACCAAGGCCTTTTGACGATCGGGCAGCAAACTTCACCACCGGTAAAGTGAGCAACAAAGCGAAGTCTTGCGAGGGACGGATTTGAAAAACACTCAAGCCATTGATATAACGAACGTGACCGTCGCGCCTCCGGTACTATTATTCGCACCTCGAATGACCGCGGTTCTCTTCCATGCGTTCGCAGTTACGGTTGCGATAAATCGACGTTAAGTCGAAATTACAGTCGTATCGGCCGAACCAGTAGCGACGTGCGTGCCCGGACAAATCATGCGCGGCTTATAAGCCCCGTTCCGGGGTACCATCTGTGCCCGCCGGACAGTTACGAACCATTCGTCTGTCTTTTCTTTTCACGCAGAGCCTGATGAACAGCGGATGTGTAATTGCATTCATGTATCATGCGTCACGAGATATTCAAAGCATTAAGTGTTCAATAACAAGCGTAAAGTATAATGTGAGTTTTCTATAAAAAAAAATAAAAAAAAATAAAAAAAAAAACAATGTTTCTTACCAAATGTTTGATAATTTAATCTTCTCTTTCCTTTTTCTTTCTCTCTCTTTCTCTTCAATGCAAATCCTCACGCGAGCTTATGTTGCATAAATGTGGTGTACGGTGACACTTATGCTAATTTCTAATCTTTTTGAATCCCGACGCGCGAAGAGAGGGTGTGAAATGTTTCTATGGATCTCTGTGTCAGGATCTCGTCAACGTCACGAAGGATTAAACTTTAATTCACGGGTTTTAATTCACGCTGCAAAGCCTGTCAATGAAAATAATAATCATGTTGGACGTGTAAACGTTACATGAACATGGCGCATATACCGTACATGCAAATCGCCCGCGATATGTTCGTCATTCGTCAGAAAACGCGTGTTATCTGCTTATTTACAAAAAACAATTTGCAATATTACGAATGCGTAGTTATGCTGCTTGCCATATGTCGCTATGTTGATTCAAATTTAAAATAAATTCTGAATTTACTTATCGAATATACATGGGGAGTCCGTTTTATTTAATTTTCTGGAATTTTCTAGAATTTTTTACTTATCAAGACGCGAAACGTATATAAATGCATGTATTCCATTTTAAGTGCAAAGAGTAAAAAATGTGAGTAGAAGCAAAAGAGAAGTCTGAGAGCAAGTCTGGTTTTAAAACGCGACCGCAATTGGATGGATCTCGAGCGACTCTACGTGCGTAAAGTTGTACGTCTTGAATTACGTAGTCAACCACGAACATATCGAATGTAGATAAAATGTTACGCACATGCGTCCACGAATTTTTGCTTCTGTTCCGCATTATTTACCAAGTGTCGATAATATAGATCGTAGATGATCATACTGTCAAAAAAATTTTATTTTATACCGAGTCTACCTTGTGTATCGTAAATAAAGCACTCGCATCATTGATTTTTGTGATATTATATTGACTGTTCTTTGCTAGATAACAAGAAGCAACAAATAAAACTTGAAATAAAATTCAGCTTGTAAATCTCAGCTTGTAAATCTCATTTTTATAAAAAATCTACATTTATACATCAATATTCGACATATTTAACAATTATCTTCAATTATTTGAACAATAAAATTAATACCACAAATTTTTAAAATATTTTTTTTACAAATGTCATAATGGCTCAGTGGGCATGAAGAAGAACCCCATACAGTTAAGATACTTTACTATTGTAAAAAAACCACAGACTATTAGCACTGTTTTAGAATAAAAAAGAGCTTCTTCTAAACCAAAATAAGTTTTCCAGAAGAGCAAATCATCACAATCATATTTTCATGATTGTACATTTAATTGTTTAATACTTATAATACCTAAATATAATTATTAAAGATCACTAAGATCCACAGCTTCCACCTGTGTATTAAGATTTTCGACATTTTCACTGATTTCAGAATTGTTTAGTTTTGCTTCTCTAGGAACGTCTAATTTCGACCAAGCTCCAGCCTCAGCCTTTCTCAACTTTATTTCTACTTTAGTCGGTAGCATATTCACACTACTTTTCTCGACGTCAACAATCTGAAACAAATTTATCATAAGTAACATTATATTGCATATTTAAACAATATTTTAAAGACAATTTTACATTAACCAGATATTAAAAAATTATATTATTACATACTCCTCTTAATTCTATATCAAGATCATATGTTGAATTTTCTTCCACAAAAAACAGAACTACAGTCAAATGGATGGGATTCAATTTAATGACAGACCGACTAGGCAGATATTTTTTTGCATACACAGAAACGACTACATGTGTTGGAGTTTGATGCCAGTCCATTCTGCATTGAACTGTTTTTCCAGTATTCTAAAACAGAAACATTTTGTGTTTTAATATCTGCAGTTTTGAAAAAATATTAAATTGTAAAAATAATATTAAAACTCAATTTTGCAAATTACGTACTTGAGAAAACCACGTATGTTTGCCTTGTGTGCATCCTGGTTGCTCCAAAAAAGTAGAAAATTCTGTTGTTTTCTTTTGACAACAGGACCAATATTTCATTCCTTCATGGAAAATTGGCACTCCACGGTGATAATGACAAATTTCTTCGTTAGAAATAGGTCCCTGATAAGTTCCTTTGCAAGAATTATTTTTACAACTTTGACCTATCTTTATTGTTTCTTCTGTCGGTTTGTCGATTTTTGTCTTAGTTAGTCCTTTGATTTGTTCCAGTAAAGTCGAAGATATTGTCGGCGATAATGTGAATTGAGGAGCATCAAAAGAAGGTCTTTCTAAAGATGTTTCAGGTCTTGAAGGTTTAGAAACAACTTCAATTATTTCATTAGCCTTAGATTTATCAATCTGTGGTTTCTCTGGTTCAGGTGGTTTCTCATTAGAGTGTTTTGACTTTGTGCAACCTTTAATATTTAAAAACTCTGTAAAATCTGTACACTTTTTGTTACAACAAGACCATCCCTTGTAAGCATCGTGGAATACCGGAGATCCTGGATGATACATACAGTCATCTGCAAGATACATCAAAAGTAACAATTGATCTTAGTAAACTCAGAACAGTAATTTTTTTTATTCTACTTGAAATAAGAAAATGTATGAGTGTGTTTATGATAATAACATCACAACAATTCGTTATTTTTTTACATATAATTATTTACTTAATGTAAAAACTAAAACTAAATGGTCGGAGAATTTCAAATAAAATCTTACCGTCTTTATTATTTTCCGGCAGGAACATCTTCCCGCATCCACGACGATAACAACGCAACATATTTTCTTGAGACATCACAAATAAATATTGTTCTTATAAGATTTTTGTCTCGCAGTTTCACAGAAAGCTTCTTCGCGTACGTCACCGCACGAGAAAGAAACGTTTTCTCACACAACTCTTTTTTCCTCCGTCAGTAAAGTTCTAGCACATTCTAAGCTTCTAAAATTTTCGATATTATTAACACGAGAAATATCGAATCGGTTCACAGAGAAAGTGGGAGATAATTTAAGCGCAGTATACACGGCAAACTGAACTTTCTGTCAGCGACTTTACGTAGTAAAGTCCAAAGTGCGCAAGCGCGAATCAGACTTGCTTAAACTCGATCTGATTGGTTGATTTGCTTGAACCAGCGGTACCATGCGTTTTTGTCCGTGGCCGGCACCACTTCTGTCCACACGACGAAAATACGACAATTCAGCAGACAAAAACGCATCGTGTGCTGTTGGCTTTAGTGTCAGCTGACGATAATTGGCCGTTATCTATACGAGACAGCGTGGTAGAACGCGGGCTGTCTCATTATAAACCGGGTGTTTTCAAAAGTGTTATTTCATCGCCACGTTTCATGTGATTATGCTGTATAGACAGTATAGACACACAACCGCGCACCAGCAGCATGTACGCGCTTTTACGTATGTTATTAGTGCTTATACAGTTTTTGTATAACCTGTATGAGACAATTCGCTGCGCGTGTTTTGCGTTACATCGATGGTGCATCTCCGCTGCGAGCACGACATCAGAACTCGATACGCTTGTCCATTTCGCAACACTCGCAAGAAACAAGACACCCAAGCACTTGGTGATTGTATTTGGACTGTGCGACGAATCGGTTCTGGACTGTGTGCGTATAATTGGATGGTGCATTACACTTGATATACCTTACATCAGCTTCTTTGATCGTAATGGTAAAAAAACGATTTTAGTCTAATTATATCTGTATGTGAAAATCTGCAAGATATAATAAAAAAGAGTCATCTCTCTCGTTTCTGTGTGTCTATGTGTTTGCATCAGTTTGTATTAAGTTAGCAAGTAGCAAATTAAAGTCTTGAGCACAAAGATTGTTGTCTATAAAGTTGTAAACATGAGTTGAAAAAGTAAGTCAACTCATAATGATTGATGTAAACATAGATTGTGTTCAATGTAAATTGCTTCCATTTATGTCAATTATAGTATGTTTGATTACATCTTTGACTTATTCTTGTGACTCTGTCATTACAATAATCTATATACTCACATATCCTTATATTGCTACATGTTTCATATGTATACACTATTTTTTTTATACATTTATACATATTATAAATATTCTACACAAATTCTTTAAAAAAGTATACTAAAAAATATTTTTATAATGATAGAAGATTATAACATCAATAATTTGTGTGATCAGATATATGTTACAAGTTTTTATCAAAACAAAATATTACATTTTATAAATGTAACAATTCTTATAATGATGTTCTTTGTTTGCTCTTGTTATTATTTGTATTTTGTGTAGTAGTTACTATTGTTGATAACAATATTTTAGGTGAATAAAATCACTTTATAATGAAATATGAATGTTATTTTTACTGATGCAATATTGCATCATGAATATTATTTATGTTAAACATGTTAAATTTATTGTTTTAAATTTCTTATTTTTTTCCTTATGTTATTCTACACTTGTTTCTACATGTTTATGTAATTCGGTTAGGTTCTGAAATTAAATTTATTCATACATGCATATTCCTCACTTTAAATGTATGTAAGCACAAATTTGCAAGTACTTTTTTACTCACAGCAGTAACTCAGATCAACATTGCATTTTAACAACAATGTAATAATGTATTTTTGGTATTAAATATATATAATGCATAATATAATACACCACATTCACATGCTGTAAGTTAAACTAATGCTATTAACATTTTATAATTATAAAACTATTATTATAAATAGTTAATAAAATGAAATAAAATAAGCATACTACATGTGCAAATATAATTAATACATTGAAAAATAGAAAACTCTTTACAAATATACAATAAATCTTAAGAGAAAAACTGGAACTTTCTAAAAAATATAATTGCTGTGTATATTTTTACTTATGTATTTATATTATATATCATTTTACATTATTTTATATTATTTTTTTTTCAGGTTTCTTGAAGAAAAACGAAACCAATCTCAGAAGAGAATTTGAGAAAAAACGGCCTGATTTAGTAGAACATATTGTTTGGAATTCACATACAAAAGCATCTGGTCAAAATGGAATAACTGGTATGATATCTAGTTTTTTCTCATATTTTAATGAAATAAAAACCATTTATTTTCAAACTTAAAAACTAAAACTGTTTGAAATAGTAGACGTGAAGAAAAGAAAATGTGACTCATGTTACGTGTGTTGATAAAAATGTAAATAAAACAATAATTAGAATATATTTATGATAGCGCAAACTACGCAATAGTTCTTTTTTTGCAATTGTAAAATTACTATTTCAAACTTTATATTGCAAAATCATAAAAGATAGACTTATGTTCATCAAATAGTCATTGATATGCACAACAATGTTTTAATTGCAGACAGGTCAAAAATAAATGTATCATTACTATCTGATATAGATGGTAGGGGAAAAATAATAGCGTTAACGCAGTCCCTGGCAAAGGCTGTGTCTTCTGGAAATCTTGATCCAGAAGAAATTACGGACCAACTAATCACTGAAAAGTTACAAATAAAAGGAATGCCAGATCCTGATCTTGCTTTAATATATGGTCATATTTGTTCTACATTTGGTCTTCTACCGTGGCATACAAGAACGACAGAATTTTTGTAAGATTATAAAAATATTTGTTAATATTCTTTTTTTCCTCCTAAGATTCATACGTTTTTAAATTAATCAGTTTAACTTGTTTTTTTTTTTTTGTTTCAGAATGCTGCCCCTGTACGTCAATGTATCGGTAAAAGATTTTGCATGTCTCTTAGAGAGATATGGTAAATGTGTACAACGATATGGAAAATGATGTGTAACTATCTTTATTTATACAAAAAAAAATGTTGCATTTTGATAAAACAAAGTGCATTTCAATAAAATTAAAGAAAATGGACTCTTATATTTAAAAACAAAAAAATTTGAAGAGCCGATAAGAGCCAAATGCTGATAGAGATGTGTAAATATCTGTGACTAAATATAATTAAATGATATGATAATAGCCTCTAATGTTAACAAATGAATTTAGCCAAACGCGTTTTAATCGAACTAAAGTCAAAGTAACTATAACAGTAATATAGTATCATTACCAACGTTTGGTTCTTACTGGTCCCTTCCAAAGTTTTAACCAAATTGATTGATTAGTGTGTCAGCGCTAGAAGAGAAGTAAACTTTGAAAAGAATTGAAAAGAATTTTTTCAATCTCGCAATTATTTTACTTTAGCAGATTTCAGTTTAATGAAATTTGACTATAATTCTATAAAAATTTTCGTTGTGTTCCACAACACAAATTATACATACATGATATATACAGTTTGTATTATACGAATAAAATTGTATACCTTTATTTTTGCACACAAAAGTAGTGATTTCGTGTGATAAATGCAATTTTATTCGCGCAATCTACAATTAATATTACAAACAATAATATAAACGTTATATATTTTAAAAACCCGATTATATAATACCGTTGTTATGTTATAAGAAGAATAAACACAAATATCTTACACAGATTTAATAAATGAGAGATCTCAAATATAGTTCTGATAGTTTTACGAGTTTCTGATTCCCAATGCTTGTTCCAATTCCGCTCGTTTTTGCTGCACTTTTGTGTAAAAGTAACGACACACTGCCTCTTGTGCCCATGGCTGGTAATAAAATTCAGCTCTTCGTTCTTCTTCTGGATTGCCTACCACGTCAGTCATGGTTTTCAAATCTCTAGTTTGAGAAATGATCCACTTATTAATAAACTGTTGTGGATCTTTGGCAAAACTCAGAAAGAATTCACGATTGGTCTTCAATTGGTTAATGGTTTCAACAGTTTCATGTATTTTATTATCCAAACTCTGGATTTCTTGTTGGCTCGCGGTCGATAGTAAAAAATTGTTCATTTGTGTTTTCAGCGTATCGTCGACTTCTACATCAATGTCATAACACGCGGTTTGTTTTGTTTCCGTTCCTGAATAATATACATTAAATATATATATACATATTGTAATAAATTTTACATAAGTTGTGTAATATAGTTAATAATAATTAATTCGTGAACTCACACAAAATATTTACACTAGTAATATTTTTGTTAAAAGTGATTTGATTTTCTTTTAATTTTTCTCTCACCTTCGACGCTTATAACATGATTTATTACAATGGGGTCGGGCGGATGTAACAACGGATTCAATCGTTGCGGTATTTCAGCGAACTTCATTCGAGAACAAGCAAATATTTGTTCCAAATATTTATCACAGTTAATGAATTCTCTCTCATGACTATCTTGAAGCTTGTGCGTTTTTATATATTGCCAGAGTGCAGATATGATGACAGGTCGTGTTTGCGTGTGTACACCTAACAGTCGTGCTAATCGTGGATCCAATTTAAACTAGAATAAACAAAAATAGTTGAAATTTCATGAATTTTATGTAATTTTAAAGTGTTTATTTTTATGTGAAAAAGTACCTGGAGTGGCTGGTAGTCGAGAAGAAGTAATATTGTACAACGAACATTTTTATCTCCTGGCCTTTTAACTTGAAACCCATCAGTTTCTTGAGTGGTTAATGTGCGATGCCATTCAACTAAATGATTATCAGGTCCATACAGATCTTTGTCCAGTTCTATTACTAAACTTTTAAAGAAAGAAGAAAATTTTCGTTTCACCTGCAGAAGAAACAAGCTATTACGTATATGTATACGTGTTCTTCAAAAGAAGAACGCGTATATATGTATTCTCACATAATTTTAAACAGAGATTTTTTTAAATAGAAAAATTAAATGCTTTCTAAATATTAATTAAGTCTATTACTGCTAATAATATTACAATTATTTTTATACCACCTTATTAGGATCATTTTTAGTATCATCTAATAGACGTCCTTCGACTCTAAGCTCCCAAGATGCCACAGATCCTTCTTCTCCTTCACTTGCTTCCTTAGCCGGATAGAACGTATTTGAGATAAAAATGCGCAATTTTCGTTTTTGTTTCATTGGACGTTTCAAAGCTTCTTGAATATCGAGACGTTTCCGCATTATAGTTGCATCTAATTTTCTTTCAAATGCAAGCAAGTCCATATAAGCTTGTGATTCTGGCACTAAATCACGTACTTTCTGAGGTAGTATTTTGTCTGCCAATTTCTTCTTTTTCTTTGATGTGGAATGTGAAAAATCACTGTTCCAAAAATACCTAAATGAGTTTATTCGAAAAAAATCATAGACACAGAAATTATAAATAATTTTGTTAAGCCATGGATGGGCAGTGGTTTTTCCTGATCAAATTTAGTTAAAGTATGAATAATGTATTGCCAGTTGCAAATATAAATAAAAACGCATATAAAATATAAATAAAAATGCATACAAAAATAGTATTGTTGTATGCACAAAAATTAACAAAATAAGATATAACCATGCAAAGAATATGTAAGTAGAAAAACAAAGCATCTAACTGTTAAAATAGAGTAAGATTTTATCACAAGACAAAATTGGCATAATGTAAATATTAGTTAATGAGATAAAGATCAATAGAAATTAGTGTTTGCAAAAAGTAAATGATATTTACATAATTATTATACTTACGGTTTTTGCTGTGACATAGGAATACGTTGATCTGCACTTCTTTTTCCACCAACAGGTGGAGTAGGCATTGGCCCTTGTCGCATATTTGAATAAGGCTGATTTGGTCTCATTATTCCTCCAGGACCAGGTCCAGCATTGGCCAGTTGTGGAGGTGGAGTAAATCCAGATCTTTGCTGCATCTACAAAAAAAAATTAGAATTTTACAAAATTGTTCTTGAGATAAACATTTTTTTATTAAAAAATTGTTATAATCCTTTGTATATACTATTTCTAATTGCATAAGAATTAAAAAATATATACATACAGGAAAATTAGGTCCTGAATATTGACGTAGATTTGGTGGTACCGAAGATGGTGGATATCGTTGAGGAGGAGGACCATTGCTCCCTGTGTTTGGTACAGGAAATCTCTGCGCCATTTCTGGTTCTTTTTAAAAACAAACATACACGTAACAAATATTATACAACAGAAATCTCAGAGAAAAGTAATAGTCAGAAACATAAAGAACAAAAACTGCATGTCCGGATTTCATAAAACATTTATAATAGTAGTCGACATAACCGCACAGATGCAATATAATCAGAATGTATCTGAGAATTTGTCAATAATGCTTATAAAATTGCAGATTATATCGTCAAAATGTATTATAATCACGATAATATGTAAAACTATACAAAGCAATGTGTAAGTTTATAAGAAATCACAGAACAGTTTTGTATAGATCTGAAACCAACATACTTGTTATAGCGGATAGTATTAAATCATCAAACTTTACAGAAAATTATATATAAAAGAAACAGTAATTTTTTTTCGACTAACACATACGGCACTAATGAGCATTACATAAAATACAAATTTTTATAAAATAACCTTTTAATGTTATTTTTCAATTTGATTACACTTTATACGTTCACCACCGCTTACTTGCGATATACAGGATGCGTCCGGAGAGAGACGCTATTGGCGATACGAATGCAAGACTACCAACGCTATTCGGAGAATCAACAACACAATCTCTAGTGCTTCAAGCTTCGAGACAAGCTGTTTCCTTGACTCAACTTTTTTTTTGTTTCTCCACTGTTTAGCACAAGTTGCCCGACACTCTACTGTACACGCGCCGCAAACAAGTAACCATAAATCTGGTTTACGCAACCAGTAACGTTAATTTATGACAAAATTAGTCAATTATAAGATCTTTCGATGATCTTTTCGTTCCCACATTCACTATAAACTCGTTTTGATACGACGGTTATTGTCTGCACAAACCAATCCTTACCAGCAGGCGTCCTCTAGTCTTTGCTACAGTTAGTTTTTACGGCGCTCGTTGGCGCTGTTTACCGCTAATGAAAACAGCCCCTCTCATCCCTAGATTCTCGCGCCAAATCAGCGTTGGTTGTTTGGCCGATTTGACCAACGTGATTAGTCAATTCCGCAAGACTTGTTACTTTCGATCTGTGCCTGCGACTTACATATGTGATAGGCCTTTACTATTAGTGTATACTATTAGTGTATACTATTAGTGTATACTATTTTCCCATTGAGAACCATCAAAACTGACACTTCACGCTTCAGTAGTACTGAGCACGTGTGCTGCGGGATGGTGACACAGAAGTAGTTAACAAACATTAGACATACTATAAAAGAATTAAATACTTTACACAAAAAATGGATCTACATAATCGTTATTTACATTTTCCGACATTAGACGTTTCAATTGAAAATATTGTGAGTGACAAACCTGACAATAATGTATTCTTTGTACTTCATCATTTAATACGCCTTTATAACGATGAAATGACTCGAGAAAGATTGGATATACGTAAACTCGAAACTCATCGAATGCTGTTATGTTACGAATATCAAATTGTGTTCAACGTCGCTAAAAATTGCGACGATAAGAAATATGTAATACCCGAAGATGCGGAAAACGTCTGCTTTTCTAGTATCGAATCTATTTTTCCAATTCAACATTTGCGAAATGATTCGGAAATGTTGATCTTACGTGATATAATCATTTTACAAACAACACTTTACTGCAACGTTAAGTCAATTAAGGAGCATCTGCGAAATTTTCTTTGCTTGAACCATATCTATACTGCTAGCCGGGACACTAGTATTATGTATATGAAGATACTAGAATTTGTATTAGAATCTTTGTATTTGCATCAATTTTTTCATAAGACAAGCGATAACGAAGAAGAGTTAAAAGATCTTAGTTTGGATTATCTAAACATTGTAAAGTCATGGATAAGGGTAAAAGAAAATCCACCATGGAGATCGTTTATTTCAATGCTCTCCATGTTAACAAAAACATTTCCTCCTAAGTATATATTATCTCCATTATGGAATTATATCATGGACGAAATTTTCTGTTTAGAACAATTTCTCACTGTCTGGAGTGTTATGATGGATATATGTTTCACATCACATTTAGCAAAATCAACTTGTGTACAATATTATGACATTTACACAAAAGATAGATTCTGGATATTAACGCTAGAAGGTTTGAAATCACCTTTGCAACAATATCGCAAGCAAGCATTATATATAATGAAAAATACAATTGATCTTCTTAGTAAAGTTGATGCACCAAAGGAAATCTTTGACAAAAACCTGAAACAATGCGTTCCATGTAGAAAATTTGATAATTGCAGTAAACAAAAGATCTTGGTATATGAAGCATTAGAGGAAAAACAACAACACTTGGTAGCACCAGCTCTTACTCATGTAACTAGTTTAGTAAAGGCTAGCAAAGAGCACAGAACCTGCAATTGGTGTTTTGAACTTCACTTGTTGCAATGCATTTTTGAGAAGATTTTACATCATGAAAACAATAATATTGTAAAGTGGGGAGTATCGTATATTTGCAAATTAGACGAGAATATATTTAGTTATTATTTTATTGAAACAATTGTAAAGGTTCTCAATAATAGTTTTCTTTATGAGTGTCAACCTGACGAAGAGTGTCCGACAATTGTAAGAGAACTTCCAACGTTGTTTGAATACGCAGAGAAGAAAACTTTACTTAATATATTTTTTAACGTAATTTGTTCTCGTGAAACCTGGGGACCTGTAGCAATATTTTACGTACTACATGCATTACGAGTTGTTTCGCACAAAAAGATAAATGCTAATTGGCAGGCTACTGAACTGAAGAGCATTAAGAATTTAGTAGAAATAAATTTGAACATGCATTCTCATATTTTGCGTACTGCGTCACAAATTGAACTTTTGAGAACTATTCCTAATTACGTGCGAAAAATAGATAATCTGGAAGTGCTTGCTGATACTTTAGCTGCATTTCATTTTGGGAAAAGTCTTGTAAGAGGAACAAATCCTTGGAATATCATTACAGTGTGGTTGCAAGAAGTAGTAACAAAAGAAGAAGCCATAACTTTCGTAGGAAATACTTGTGCGAAATATTTAAACAAATATACTGACTCTAAAATAAATTCCAGAACATTTGCATTGATGGTATATCTATTACATGACTCGAACCTTATACTTTCTGACAAAAAATGCTCTGCAGAAAAAGCATTAAGTATTTGGCTGTATACTTTAAGTAAATTCGATATGAGACCTTATGCTGATATTGATTCAAGTATCAATGTAGCAGAATTTATGTCACATATGCTGAATTTATCTACAAATGAATCTTCCAATAGCATAGCAGACTTAATATCATTAAATATACACATCACTTTTATGTTTTTAATTAAAAATATGAGAAAGATGGTTACAAAACTGGCTTACGAAGATTACATGAGATACACAGCCATTGTATCTCCGCATATTGCTAAGGCAAAGTTATTCATGCCAAAGAAATCGGTGAACAATTATATAGAAGAGCTCCAAAATGAAAGCATATGTTTATTAAAAAATGCGCAACATTACAGTGTTCAATATTTGTACGGATTGCATATTTTATATCTTTCTCAAAATATATCCGTTTCGATGTTTGCGACAAAATTCTTTACGGAACACGTATTGAACATGTATGCGAGCGCTGCAAGTACTGATGTTGCTTCTGATGAAAATTTAAAAGGAAAAGTAGCATCGGAGTATTACTTGCTTCTTTCAAAACTTGTGCATCAATATCTCATTAACTCTCCAATACATTCATGGATTTCCACTACAGTGTTGTTATCCAATCTGTTAAAATTTCTTGAGCTAAGTAGAATAGAAACTATTTCTGAAGTAGCAACGGTACTGACTGTACTAGTTGACAATAAAGCTATCAACGCCACAAATGATAGAGAAACTTTGGAATATATTCTGGAACTATGCTGGAGATGTACTCTTGATAGTAAAAAAAACAATATTTACTGGACAGCAATAGAGAATCTCACTGGAGTTATTGTTAACGATAATTTCTTTCTCTTGCCTAATACTATAGAATTCATAAATAAAGTAAGAAATGTGTAATATAAAAACATGTATTATATTTTTCAAAATTGTTCATATTATCTTTTGTGTTTGACAGTTCATTAGTCAATTATTAGGAGAAGATGATACATCAAAGTTCGAAAAGGCATTTACAAGGTTCAAAAGAATATTACTTTCTAAACTGGAAAAACTAAACGCACATAATTTGACAAAATTACAAGAACCGTTACTAAGTTGTCTGCTGCATGGTTCTGTGCTCCGACGTGATGAAAGAGTTGAAAATCATGCTTATTTATTTATCACCAAGCATTTAATGAAATATTATCCAAAGCACATCCTTGCATTGTAAGCATCTTTTATCAATATTGTAAATTTTATAATATTGACAAAAATATTAACAACAATTTTGTTTTATACGTATAACACAAATGTTAGTAAAATTAAAATCTTAAATTGATATAACAGGGATCAAAGTAACGATACTGCTATAAGAGCGCAAGCTGTTATATTATTACATAAAATAGTCAGTCATTTAAAATCAAATAATGTGGCAATTGTATCGTGTATACTTGAGATGTTAGACAAGTACAAAAACAAAAGACATTTCAACGATTCCTATATACATAAATTAAAACACAGACTGATGCAAATATTATTAATGTTAGAACCAGTTTTAAGTAAAGTGAGTACATTAACTTACATGTTTCAAAAATTATTTTTTGATTTCACCTAAGAAATTACAGATAATTTTGCTTTGTAGGAATTTGTTGCTCTACTGCAGGATAAAATAAGCGATTTTATTTTTTCGGAAAGCAATCAACACAGTGTGAGATTGATGCAGGAATGGTTGATGATACGAATCTTTACGAAAAATATTAATCTACACGACAAACTATGGAAATTATTTGCAGAGGTATTTTGAATAAGATCTGTAATATAAATATTACAGATCTATAAAAAATTTTGGTTTTTTGAATAGTTATTTTGTCTCTTACTCTACATGTGTAAACAATGCATTTTTCTAGAGTATAGAAAGACGACCGGGATGCACAATTTCTGTGTCAAGTATTGTATATCATGTTGCACGACTTCTGTTAAATGATAGTCAGAAGATTTTCATTCAAACCGCTCTGCCATATGTAGCACAATGCTGTTTAGGTCAGCAATTTAACGTGCGTTTGTATAATCAGGTAAGTAAAGTCTAGTAATTTGAAATGAGGGCTGCAATATGTATCCTTATCAGTATTCTATGTTCTAATATCACATATATTTGGTTTCCTTGAAATGTAGTTTATTTTAATTCAATTGTGCGATCTAATCAAAAAGACAAATGGTAATGATAGTATATTGGAATACAAAGGCATCTATCAAGCAGCTGTGGCTAATTTACAGCAAGAAAGTACAACAAAAAATTCAGCTAGGATACAGGACGACTTTTACTTTTCCAATTTTCATCCGATGAAGGATTACAGTTTGCAGGTATAGAGTTCATCTTAAAAACAAAAAGTTTTAAAAATTTAGAGATAACATGTATTTTTAGCTCATTATTTTATGTTTTGTAGACGATTTATTTTGAATTACCGCGATTAACTAATGTAAATTGTGATGAATTGATTAGTCCAGATGTATTTGAAGCTTTTGCATTTAAACAAAACGATCATCATCCTCTACAGCTTTATAATATCAATTCATTTCTATCCGAGACTAAAACTTCCACATATCTCACAAAATCTTCTGCAGGTAAATGAAAAGAGCAGTGAAATATTACATAATTCGTAAGAAAATTATAAGTGCACATAAAAAACATAAGTGTATATATACGTATATATATTTTAGATGATATGGAATCACTGACAAATTATATTGAAACATATTCAGAAGGTTTGCATGATATTCAAAAGAAAATTGACCCATCAAAGTCTAAAACTCCTTTATATAGAGATGTTTTTGAAACAATGATTGACTCCAAATATCAACAAGATTTACATTTAGAGGAAGAGGGTTTAATAGTTGTAGCATCTTTTGTTAGTCGACCGTCAAATTTAGGCGGAATTGCTAGAACATGTGAGATATTTGGAGTTAAAACATTGGTTATTGCAAATGCGAGTCATGTAAAGGACAAAGAATTTCAGTCCCTCAGCGTATCTGCCGAAAGATGGATAAATATATTGCAGGTAATTTTATTTTTAAAACTCATCAATCATACAAATAACACACTAGTATTGAACTATTTTAAAATTTATAGATAAAGCCACATGAGTTACAAGAATACTTGCTAAAAAAGAAAGATGCAGGATGGTCTTTAATTGGTATTGAACAAACAGCCAATAGTATAAATTTACTTGAAGCGAAATTTGTTAAAAAAACAATTCTCGTCTTAGGGTAAATATATAAAGTTTTGCTTTTAATATATTTGTTGACGTTTGTGTAATTAAGAATGATTTTTGCAGGAATGAGAAAGATGGTATACCTGCTAACTTTATACCTCTCTTTGACACATGTTTAGAAATACCTCAAGTAGGTATAATACGATCGTTAAATGTTCATGTTACTGCTGCAATTTGCATATGGCAGTTTGCAACTCAACATACACTGAAATAATCATTTTTCTAATTTTATATGGTATAAAAAATAAATCGATTTTTAACAAACCAAAAGATATTTACTAAAACAATCACTTATTGGACAGAGAAAGCATTTGAGATTTACATTGTTTTGTATATTTTTACGAGCAGATGTCTATAAATTTATACATTATCTATGTAAAGATTAAATACATGATATATTTTATACATCATATCCAACAAAGTGTCGCTTTCCAATACATTCTCCAACAAAGAACCAGCAGTATATTTCAGCAGCCACTAACGTGTTTACAATAGCCTCACGTACAGTGACTTCACGATAACGTCCAGTTCGTGCAGAATTAATCAACTTGGAAAAACCATTACGAATCTCAGGAATATCTCTTAGGGTGGGTGGTGTGAGTTCTACTCTGGCATATTGTTGCCACACATTCAGCACAGGTTTTGCCTGTGTAATACTAGCTGCAATTAATATGCATTATTCAGTTTTATTTTTTTTTTTATCAAACACGACACATGTATACATATATGTACATTAAGATTCAACATTTAATTTAAAGTAAATACGAGATTTAAGTTAGAAATCATTTAAATATATTGTTGTTTCTAAAACCAAATAATTTCTGAAAACATTTTAAATATTTTGTAGACTTATTTGCATTGATTATTAATTTACTTGCAATAAAAGAGTATATAGATCAATTTGTTAACCGTGTAAGAGATTTAACCTTAATGAAAGTGTGCTTGAAATTCAAGTTGTCAGAACGAACAAGATTTTACAAACTAGGTTTCGACAAAAACCAATTGTCAACACACTGAACTATTACATATGAGAAATCTGTATATTTTAATCATTATGCTATAAAAATTTTATAGCAAATATAAGTTACATAATAAGCTGCGTTTATGAAACAAATTTAACCTTTTGTTTAAAACACTTTAACAATAAAATCTTAAAAAACATTGTTCATACTTTTTACCAATCCGGTGACTTTTCCAACGAGATTTGCCATTGTGCCTTTCTGCTTTAAATACCTTTGAGAAAGAAAATCAAGAAAATGATTGTGCTGGGGAGGTTTGGTTAGTTTGGTCTAATGTGTGTGTTGTACTCCGACGATTCAATTCTTTTAAGACCCAACTGTTCTCTTGTCTCAACTTCCTTCTATTTCTTCACTGCACGAATTGGACAACATTATACCGCGCTTGCGCTTGCAAATAGTGTGCTAGTGATACTCTGTGCTTTCTGGAGTGTATATAATTATAAAACATTTTTATCTGTTCTAAATTATTAATTAAATCGATTGCTACAATTTCGAAAAATGTCAGACTCATTTAGGTAAAATATTCAATTTTCTGCCCTCCCGTTGTTTTCAATAAAATTGTATTTATTAGATTCCGTTTTGAATATACAAGACTCGATAAGTAAAACTGATATGTAATTATTTATAATGCATCACCAATTACTTTCGATTGTTGAATGTAAGCTCATTCGACGCAGTTTTTTTATACATAAAAAGAATCCGCAAAAAAAACGTGTCGATCTGTCCCGTAAAGCGAGTAATTAATAAAATTTGATCTCGTAGGTTAAGTTAGGTTAGATTATGAAACCTGTCATTTTTATTGCATACAACTGCAAGCCTGTAGTCACGTGTACCTGTTCTGCGATCACATGCGTACGTGCTGTACTTCGCGCTAAAATAGTACTTTAAATTTATAACAAAACTAAAATATAAATAATTATTTTTAAAATAAAATTTGCTAAACATTCGCCTTAAACAAGGTTGATTTTAAATATAGAAAGCAACATTGTTTTTACATTTTTTCATAATTAAGATACTTTTTTTAGATTCTTTTTGTTGTTAAAATCGGGTCGATTGAGCCCAAATCTATCGAAATTAAGCATGGTTGAATAATAAATATGTCTAAATTGAAACGAGGGCATAAAACTGAATATTTTCTTTTATTTAACAGCAGCTCTTTTTCCGATAATGAGAATATTAAAGGAATTGATCCCGAATTAGCTGAGCTTCTGATGGTCGAAAAGCAAAAAGCGCAATTTAACGCACAAGTAAATATATAAAATAGTTATAAAAGTTATACAAAGCACTGAATTAATTTTTATACCTAATTTTGTCTTATATGTGTGTATATGTATACATACACACAATATAAATGTGTATTACACTTTACTATGAGATAAAAATAATTTATACAAAACTTGAAAATTTGTTTAGATCCATGAATTCAATGACTTTTGCTGGGATAAATGTGTCGATAAACCAGGAAGTAAATTGGATGGCCGTACAGAAACCTGTATACATAATTGTGTAGATAGATTTATAGATGTTTCTCTCTTTGTCACTAATCGTTTTGCACAATTATTACAAAACTCTGTAGCAAAATGAGAATTTGTAAAATATATTCTTGAAATATAAAACTTTTTTTTGATTAAAGTTATACTGAATTTTTTATGTATCATTAGTAAATCATATAAAGAAAAATATATGTAATTTCACACACTTTGTATAAGTATTGTGATATGTGAGAAACTAACCGTTAAAAAAAAAGAATTAACAAAATCTTTTATTATATAAGTCACAAAGCTCTTCCTCTAGAAATCTTTTTCTATATAAACTTGCTTGTACATTAAACTATATAATATTCATTATCTTTAATTTACTATTTTGTGACAAAAAATAGTAAAGCACATTCGAATTGTCCACATTCAAAATATAAACATAGGATATTATTTAACACCTTAAAATAAACTCCGCATATACTTTTCGTCAAACTTGTTAGATATGATATGAAAACTTACATGTAAAGATTAGTAAATGAGATATAAATAGGGCTATAAATACTATTAAAATCTGTTTTAATGTTTTTTATAGAATTGAAATTGTTTCAAATCGTCTGTCACATCGTTTGTTACATGTTTATTTCTTATGCATTTCTATTGTAATTAATTTCATTAAATTAAAAAAAAGTCAATTTTTTGGTGTTTTTAACTTAATTTTTACATGTAGATAAAGTTAAACCTGTAACAAAATAAAAAATTTTAAGTATTTCTTTGCATTACATATAAGCACAAAATAAAATAAATCTTTAATTTACTTACCTGCACAACGATTGCGGCAAAGATGAAATTATAGGACCATATCCTTGCGAATTATCATATAATTCAAATAATGGTGCGGCAACTAATTTGTAATTTTTTGGTACGGCAAAAAGAGCTAGATATAAAAAAAAATCACACAATTAAATAATTTATATTTTTGACGTAAGTTTACATATCATAGGTTTCTGATCAAATTTCTTTCTGTACCTTTTTCTTGTAGCTGTACGAGAAATAATCTTTTATGTTCCTTCGGTTTTGTGATATGTGGCGGTACGTATGGATATTGAGGAGGTTCAAAGTTTGGCCGCCACCAATTTCCAATAGTATCTTCTATGGCCCATTCTAACTTTACTCCATCTGATCGTCCGAAAGTCTAGAAATCAATCCCGTTTGTTGTCTATACTCTATTGAACTTTATGAGAATAAAGTATGAAATAAAATACATTCTTCTTTGGTCAGTCCACTAAGAACATGGTTGCACAATGATGATTTCGAGATATATATACGCAACAAATAAGTAACAATATTACTCTTAACAATAATCAAGTTAATCGACACGATTAACAAAAACATTTATACATTTGTTAAAGCATCTATATGCTGTTTATATACATATATATACATAACATATATATAATATATATTTATTTATATAAATATTTAATAAAGTAAAAAAATGTTATATATATATATACATTGATATTATAATTTCAGTTAAGAAAATTGGCACTTAATAAGAATTACTAATTTTGAGAATTTATTTTACGACCTAATAAATACACATGAAGTCGTAGATCTACGAACTGTGCCAATCAGATTCTTTTGCCTTAACAATAAAATTCTAAACATTCTATCTGATATAATCGATTCTTACAAAATTCTTTCGAGAGAGTAAAATATATTCACGATATCTTTATACAATCTTCTTGTCACTACATTTTACAATCTCCATATTTTGTTTCTTCTGTGTTATCGTGTTATCACATACACTATGACAATAAGAACAATGTTCTTAGCCAACCATGTACAATACAGCGTATTCATGATGTATTATAGACATTAAAGTTTCCGGGCATGCAGCACGCTAACGGTATAAAACATTTGTAAGAATAAAAAGCGAGATCCTATATGGAGCTACAGGCCCGGTTACATAAGTTCTACAAATGTACACAATATATACAATAACAATTAAGTCTATAAAGACAGTGTCACTATCTAGTATATCAAAGATATCAAAGTGCCACTCCTAGTCAGCCTGTAAGGCAGTATAAGACGTTGCACTAACTTTTACCTCAGTAAGGAGCCGTTTTAGGCCCTCTACCTCATCTTCTCCTGTGTTGAGTTCACCACCGGGTCTATAAAGTAACAAGAAGAAAAATAAGTGTAATAGCGATATTCTCGCAACAAATGTTTATGCAAATATATTTTTGACTGAAAATAATTTAAGACTCCTCGATATAAAATATTTTATAGTATAGTATAAATTGTTCTTCTATTATATGTTTGCATAAACATTTATAGTTTATTTTCTACCTACAATACATTTAAAAGTTTAACACTTACAATTTGAAGAATGTTGTGCCAAGTTGCAGTAGGAGAACATGTGGCAATCCGTGTTCATGTACAAGTAGAACACCTTCCACACTTCTCCGCATACCAATTTTATCGAATTCATCTCTCATACGCTGAAATCTTGCTGGTACTGATGGATCTTTCTCGAAGAGTGGCTCTTTTGTTCCAAATGTATAGTTTGTCAAAGGATATCTATGATAAACGAGTTGTATTTTTTGTTAGGTTTTTACCTATTTAAAATAATCCACCAGTAACTTTCTTCAAATTTAGAATACACATGATTTACCGCATTCTTATATTCTATCACACAATTTCTGTTGTGTGTGTTCATGAAGCAACACACAATTTCGATAAACTTTTATATGTATATACATATACACACACATATATGAATATATATATACACACACACAGAATGTCCTCCCTAATTATTGGAAAATTTTCTATATATATAATGCTAAAGTTTTTAGAACATTCTAAGAAGACAAAAGTTTGAAACCAAAAATAATGAACTATAAATGTTTAAATTTTAAGCAATTTATTAAATTAAAAACATGAATCATACAGCACATTTTATACAGCAATGAAAGTTCTTCCAAATAAATATTTGCTGTTACAATTTCAAATAAGAGCAGTTATATTTTAAAAGATTATAATTTTGAGAATGTCTATTAAAAGGTTTTGACAGGTTCAAAGTATAGAATATCTGTAAATATTTTGTAACAGCCACTCTAAGAGAGACATCCTGCATATCATATACATTACATTAAATATTTTTGCAATAACTATAATTATGCAATTGATTACAATAAAAAATAGTCTCTAATTATTATCATGCTCTGGTTTTGTATATAAATAACAATTTCTGAGATTTAACATACTTTATATATACTGCAATTTAAATGCAATTACAAACATAAAATACTAATACAATCATTCAATTTAATAAAAGTACTGTAATCAATGTTACAATTTGTATATAAATAATAATTAGTTTATACACACACATATGTATATATAAAATATGTATATGTATATATTTGTACAAAGTTATGTATTTGTTCAACATTTCATATAATTATTATCAGATACATATCAAATACATATTATTTGTTACTATGATATTACGATCACATATTTATAAGTATAATTCAGCAAATACAAACATGTGTACTTAACATTTAACGGATTGGCTTAAAACAGAGCCATTATACGCAAACTACCGGCATGTTTGGCGCGAATACGCTGGTATTTCCGGTTGAATAACTACTAAGTCGATTAATAGGCTTCTGGTCGATAAGCGCTATTTAGTAAGCTGTCTATTTTTAAGTAACTGGTCAGTTCGAGTATTAACTATTTTCTCAAATTTCTGTAATGTTTATCGTGTTTACTTGTGACTTTATGAAATTATTTAGCTTTCTTTTTTCACATAATGAATTTAAATTTACATTTACCATACAAAGTGTGATATTTTGCATAAAAAATTAATTAAAAATTATAATATTGCACACTTAATTAGAAAACTGACAAATGTTAGAGCAGGACATTTAATAAGTAAAATTTTACGTTTTTTAAAATACATATACATAAATATACTTTATACACACCATATATATATATACTGCATATATATATATATGAAGTCAAATCTCTCTATTCTCTATCAAGTTAGACTTCCTTTTCATTCTTGCTCTTTTTCTAACAGTTACTTTAAGAGACGACAAAATTAGAGATAAAATTTTGTCAAGCAAACAGAAAAAGGAAGAATATGGAGAAATAGAGAGATTTAACTCTATATTGCCATATCATGTGCCAAAAGAGAAGTAATAATCAATTTATGTAACAAATATAACTCTGTAAGACAACTATATAAAAATAGAAGTTTACTTAGTGACAATAAATATTAAAATGTGTGAGTTTATATATTATAGTACAGCTTAGATGATCACATGGTGTGTATTACAATATTATTCTAATGAGAGAAGTGAATAATATAAATTATTAATTGTAGAGTATATACACCACAATATAAATTAAACAGATTCTGATAAATCACTGTTTATAACACACAGTCACACAACAGGTATTATACATAAAATGTGCATAAAATGTTTACAAATAAAAAAAAAAATAATAAAAGTTGTAAAACCATTTAAAATTTCAGAACTTTGTCCTTTAAAAAAAGAGAAGTACAATTTCCTTTGTGAATATTCACATACAAAAACTAAAGATTTTGTAGGAAAATATTGCTAGCGTCCACCGGCAAGAGAGTTGTTCTATAGAAGAGATGTAATCTCAGAGCACATAAAGTTTACAAATATCATTGATCATTGTTTTATTACTTACAAATTGACAGTCCTGTTGATAGTGACTGACTGATTCTGCACCACTTTCCCGTCGAACGAACTATTGCTCGCTCGACGAGGCCAACCACTACCTTTACTTTGGTTTGTTGCCATCGCCATTTTGTGAGGTTTGTGGCTCACAGATGCTTCAAATGTGCTCCAAAACACTTCCCTGAGCAATTTTACCTTGAGTGATCAGACGCCGACTTGCGCCGAGTATTACCGCTAGATGATGTCTCGTGCACATGCGCGACTCAAAATGGCGAAACCAATGACACAGCTGTGTGTTCCAAAATTCATCGTCAGTAGAAAATATATCTATAGTTCACGTCATGTTTATTATATATTTTTAAAGTCGTAAACAGACCAACCAATCACAGGCCGGCATTTTAGCGCATGCTAAGCGCCGAATTCTGCTGAACGCAGCCAATGTAAAGGCCTAACTATACTGCGTTCAATTTGAGAAGAGATACCGGATAGACGAAATCTCGTCCGTTTCATGCACCTTCCCTACTAATAAGTCTTCTTACTCCACAGCCATTGGCTGTCAGCAATTTTTATTTGCCCGCTCTTCTTCTCCATGTGCAGTAAAATTCTCTTCTTAAATTGAACGCAGTACTGGGAGCGGAGCAAACATAACCTTACATACTACACAAATGAGACATACCGGTATTCGCAAAAAAAGTACTTTTATTATTTATAGTATACAATATTTTTAATTAGATACACACATTTTATACAAAATGTTATATGTAAATGACAATTATGTTGAATTAATTATAATTTTTATATATTCTTTTAATCATATGAATATTTAAACATCGAGATTATAAGACAAGTGACAAATGTAATAAGTTCGTCATTCATATTAATTTTAATAGTAACAAATTTATTAATCCTAATTGTTTCAAAACTTTATAAAAACGTGTATTAATGAGATAAAAAGACGAAAATAATACCAAGATGTACATATTATGTTTGCACAGAGGTAGTATCGGAGTAATAACATTTTATATTTTTCAGCAATCTTTCTTTGTTTACTAATAGTAAATAGTTCTGGTTTTGTGGAATGGTATGCGTTCCAGTTCCTGAGCATACTCTCGTCGATAATCCCACAAAAAGTGATCGACCATGATCGCGTTGACATCCCCTATTAGGTTCAATTTTATCTTAGGATCGGCCTCGATTAATCGTCGTATCTCGTCGCGCACTTGCTCGACCGCTTCGATCGAGAGAGCACGTATCTCGACTTCCTCTCTACCGCCTTGCTTCAACGGCTCGTCAGATTTTAGTTTGCTCATAAGCGTATTGCTGTAACGCATCGCGCCGAAGTGTACGAGTACCTGAGGAATACGGTAGTCAGCAAACATCGTTATACTATCGATATCGTGAAACTCGCCGAGTCCACATCCCTTGAAGCACACCCATATGTCGCCGATCAATATCTGAGCTCTCTTATAGATGCTGATTTTGTGACCTTCGTAATCGGCCTCGTCTCGATAAGACTGGAACTCATCTACTATCAACCGAAGCAGCTTTTCCGCCGAACCTTTGCACGACTTGATGCATTCCGCAAAAGTACCTTGATATTTAGCTAACAATACTTTTCCGGCCTCGTGCAGATTCTTAATTCTGTCCTGCAGAAGCGGAATATTAGTTTCGTCGTCACCTCGAAAGATAATTTTCGCATCTTCCTCCGTTATCTGCGAGTAATACTTAGGATCCCACATCGGTTTTCCATCGTCGATGGCTCTCTTGATAGCGGCACAAAAAGCAAAGTAACCGGTCTCTCCGTTAACCTTCCACTTGGCAGCGCCCGTGTCGGTCCAGAAGGAAAAATTCAGCGTGTCCAGGACGAATATCCAATCGGCTGCTCGAGGATCGTCGTTTTTAGGATGAAATGCCACTTGTGAGAAATTGTCCAAGGAAACTTTTCCGTTCTTAATACCGTCGAGAATTGCCAGTGCCAATTTTTTTACACCGTCTTCCTCGATGAACACGTCCTTTGCCAATGTGGCGACCAACTTCGCAGATTCTTTTGGCATTAGAGTCATAGCGATACAATTTTCGGCTGACTGACTGACGCAAACTGTTCCGGCTGAACTTTGTACAAAGCTGTAGTCACACGTGAATAACTTTTGTACAATCACAATCCTTTCAAGTGTCAAATTACTCAGTGACAACCAATATTCTGATGTGAGAACGAAATCTTGTAACCCGGCCGGTTTCGCGCCAACGGCAGTTTAACGTCACGAACTCTCGAGTATCTTGAGTCGCAACTGTTATATATACATCTTTTTTTTTTTTAAGTAGTTAGATAAGATAAGATACGAGAGAAAAAACAGATTTAACAAAATATATAGGCTTAAAAAATAAAAACAGCTTAAAATTACGCATATATTTAATTAATAATCAATTAAAGAAAAATTGGCTGATTAGAGTCCAAAACACGGTAGTTTAATGTGTTCTGATCAGCCAATTTTTCTTTAATTGATTATTATTTATAACTCGGAGTCGTTTACTTATCTACATCTGTGATATATCTGTTTACGTGTAATATTATATTGAAATATATACTTGAATAACTTATACTTACATATTCTATACGTAAAAAAGTATTCGTAAATAATATATGTATTTTGGTTACAAGTTTCTACGTTATCAACGTCGAATATTTATCGACGCAAACTGTCGATAATATGCGGCAAGTAATGCGCTGTGTGTTCTACAAGATGACGTTATAAAAATATACACACAATGTTGACTCTTTAGGATTACTACATGTACACGACATCCTCACTATATTACGTTTTGCAAGGTTGTAATAGGTTGCACTGAGCTGTATATAAATATTCAAGTTGGATTGCATCAGCCGTATCGGTTGGATGTGCGTAGTTACGCTGTGAATATTTTTGGACAATTGTCGGTGTTTTACACCAGTTTCTTTATTATCTTTAATTTAAACAAATATACAACTTCGTGGCTTGGCGTCAGAAACCCAATTCACGGTTTTAAACCTGTTATCAAAAAGACAGAATGGCGTATGGACTAGCTTTATAGGTCCACTGAGCCAAAAGAGCACCAAACCTTGCACTGAGCTGTATATTGTACCAGTCATTTTATATGCTCACCAATGCTTATACATTGCTGACAATTTCTGATACAAAAGCACGCTACGTACTTGTGCGTTTGTGACGTACACATCATACAGTAAATGATCAACAAGCACAAAAAAATTGAAGTGATTTGTGACGCAAACGAACTTACAAGTTTGTACGTTTTTCTTTCGTTTAATTTGTTTAATCATGTGTGTGTAGCTTCTGAATTTTATAATTTACTAATTTATTTCTCTGATTTATTAAGTTGATATCAAATGATTCAAAGAAAATAAAAAACATTACAATAGTTTTGTTACAACATATCTCATGAAATTGTACGTTTCTTTTATACAGAACGTTATTGTAATGAATTTACTAAAAAAAAGTAAATTTTGGTAAGAATGGAACATACAAGGCAATTGTCTGTGCTGTTTGTTCTACTGCTATTGCACTGCACATCATCTACTTATTTCGAAGATCCATTTACTCGGCAACTTGATGAGCCTGCCAGAATCAGCTGGCTTTTTTCCAATACCTCAGCTAGAGCTAAAAGAGATCTAGGAATTGACTTTGACGATGATAATTCTCCAAGAATTATAAATGGCAAGTGTCGTGATAAGTTGAATCGTCTCTGCGGTGATATAGATAGGAATAATGACGAACTGATGTTGTTAGAATGCATTCAAACTTTCAAGGTATGTATAAATTGAAAAAAAGGAAAAAAATGAATACTGAAGATCTGTGTTAACTGTCAAAAAATGTTATAGCCTACTGAGATATCTGGTATCGATCAAAAGTGTCAGGAAGCAATTTGGATTTATATTCAAAATATTACAGACAATCAAAACATAGAAAGGCTTGCCAGAAAGGCATGTGGCAAGCAACTTGATAGCCTGCAATGTTCCAGCTCTGATAAAGCTCATGGAGCATATCTGTCATGTCTGATTGATAAAAGAGAAATGGTCAGAGATCCTGATTGTATTACTTATATTCAAAGACTAGAATGGATTGCTTTCAGTGATTTCAGAATTCTAACTCCTTTTAAAACAGACTGTGCAAGTGACATTAAGAAATTTAAATGTGACAGTCTGCAACCATACAGGGATATATCACAAGGTCAGATACTAGCTTGTTTACAGGAGCATGTTGATCAACTACAGCATGAGTGCAGGAGACATATTTTATATGTGTCAGAGATCCAGGCTGAAAATATCAGGCTAGACCGTCAACTATATATGGCATGTGCTCATGATCATATTAAGTTTTGTCCTAACATTCGACCTGGGAGTGGTCAAGTCTATAAGTGTTTGATGCAACATAAAACTGATAGGTGAATATTTAAATGACAAATAGAGAAAAATTGCTGTATTAATGATTTGCTTCAGTTAAATGATTAAAGAATTGTCTAAGAAGAGAGATACAAGTCAATAATTTTGTAAAACTTTTCTTTCCACTGACAGATCGATGACTGCGCAATGTCAGGAGCAATTGACAAGGAGAGAGAAGCTCATTGCTTCTGACTACAAGATCAGTAAAGGTCTAGTCAAAGCGTGTAAAGAAGATATCAGAAATAATCACTGCCGGCGATCAGTGTCCGAAGATAAAGAGATTAAATTGGCGCAAATTTTATTATGTCTAGAATCTGCTGTAAAAAATGGCAGCAAGATTGATGGAAATTGTCAAGCAGAAATGTTTGATCACAGAAAACTTCTGATGGAAGATTACCGATTATCACCAGAGATTGTAGATGGTTGTGCCAACGATATCACGACTTTCTGTAACAGTCTCGAGGTCGGCGGTGTTACGATACATTGCCTGATGGAACATACAAGGACGAGAAAAAAGAAATCGCGAGTTTCGCCAAGATGTCAAAGAGCGGTAAAGAGTTTATACCTTGAAAAGTTTAGAGAATTTGGAATCTCCAAAATCAATAATAAATACACTTATTTATATTATTAAAAAAACATTTATGTGTTATAATTTTAGTTGGAGGAGTTGATTATGGAGGCTGATGCTGGTGAAGATTGGAGAATCGATCCAGTTTTAAGAGAACAATGTCAACCAGTGGTTAGCTCAGCTTGTAGAGATGTAAGTAAATTCGCATTATCGAAAAGATGTTTATGATTTATCTCAAAATCTAAAATCGCATATAAGTCAATTTTGCTTTATTGTATGTAATTTTGTTTTTACTAGCTTTTTATATATCGAAATATTAAGAGTGTGCATATATTTTTAGAATTAAATATATCTTTCTCTTGTATATATGTATGTATATATAATTTACATATATTTTATATACATATATATGTAATTTAGATACACGGTGGAGACGCCAGAGTAATATCTTGCCTAATGGAACAATTAGGAACGGAAAGAATGACTGAAGCCTGCGAAACTGCTCTAGTGCAGATACAGTACTTTATTGCTAGAGATTTCAAACTTGATCCGCAATTATATAGAGCCTGTAAATTCGATGCCGCACATTTTTGTCATGCAAGAAACGCGTGGGCTAGCGATGGCAAACAGATGGATCCTGAAACAGGACCTCTCGTACTGCCATGCTTATATCGGCACGCATATCAAAAAAATATAACAGTAAGATTATCAAAACAATGTTTAATTTATAGCTAATTTAGCTTGAAAATTGAAATATAAATTTATAATTTACGTGTTATTACAAATATCCTAAAAATATTTTCTCTTATCTCTCTCCAGTTGTGTTATATTCTGTTTATTTGTTTAGCTCAAACCAGATTGTTTAGATGAGATTAGAAGAGTCATGAGACAACGTGCTGTAAACGTTGATTTACAACCAGAGATAGAAGAAGTGTGCTTTAACGAATTAGCGTCACTTTGTTATGATAAAACCGCGAAAGGAGAAGAGATTCTCTGTTTGCAGGATAATTTAGACAAGTACTAGTTGTTGTTCTGTCAAGTATAAAAATATTAAACTTATTGACTGAATGTTTACTTATTGATTGAATTTTGCAGTTTAAACAAAAAGTGCAAGCTTGCGGTCGGAAATTTCACCGAGGAACAAGCGGAGCGCGTTGAACTGAATCCTATTATTTCTTCTGCGTGTCAACATATTATGGAACGTCATTGCGAGGTATGTTTTTAAATTTTATAAATTTACTTCTTATTGTTAATAATATTTCTTTACTTTATAGGAAGTATTGAAATATGGAAAAGACGAGGGAGACATGATGGAATGTCTTATTGAGCACAAGAACGAGCTGGATTCGCGTACCGACTACAAATGCAAAGCGGCTGTGGAGCATTTTCAACTGATTTCTTTAAAAAATTACCATTTTACATACAAATTCAAAGAAGCGTGCAGACCTTATGTGAAGAGATGGTGTCCGAAGTAATTAAGTTTCACAATATGCAGATGAATTTAAATATCTTAAAGAAAGGTCTTAGAGAATAAGTATATAATTGTCGATTACAATGTTATGATTTTAGATCAAAGACAAAAGCCGATGTGATAGAATGTTTAAGTTCGATCGTGCAGGAGGATATAATAAAGGAATCTCAGCATCGCGTATTGAAGGATTGCAGGCAACAGTTACGGGCGCAACTTTATCAACAGCGAGAGAATATTCATTTTGATCCCATCTTACAAGCGGCTTGTACAATGGACATCAAACGATTTTGTTTTCACATAGAACCAGGCAATTCACAGGTAATGATATAGTAGGACTTTTAGTATAAGATAGCAATTTCTTCTTTTTATCGTTATATGTTAGTATTACGTATATAACTTGGAAAGAAAGCTTGTGAACTTTAATAACAATTTCTATACTTAATATTTCTTTATTTGTCTTAGTTATGTACTTTGATTGAACAGCAAAAAAGTTAATTGCGTCAATAAACTTTTAAAATCTAATTCTTCCAGGTTTTAGAGTGTCTAGCATTGCACAAGTCTAAGTTATCGGACATGTGTCACAAGCAACTTTTCAAGGTGAGGAAACAAGAATTTCAGGATAGTTCTAGCGATTTTCCTTTGTTGACCATCTGTCGTGGTATGATCAGACAATATTGCCACGATGTGAGCAAGTCACAAACTTTGGACTGCCTTAAAAGATACAAAGACGAACTCACTTTCGACGATAAATGCAAGAGCATCGTAATACGAAGAATGATTGAGCAGAATACGGATTATAGATTCAACACTGCGTTGCAAAATGCATGTGGTTACGATATTGAAAAACATTGCAAATGGGTAAGAGAAAATTAACGAATTTATGCGTAAGAAACATATTAAGACAAATTTTTGTTAGAAATACTTTTTGTGATAACTGATTTTCATGTTAACTTAGGTTTTAATACGTGAGCGTACTGACAAGGAACTCGAAGGAAAGGTCATACGTTGTTTAAAAAACAGATTTCGGGAATCAAAGCTGACAACAAAGTGCGAACATCAAATGGCTAATATTCTCAGAGAAGCTGCACTAAATTATCACTTAAATCCATTATTAGCGACAATGTGCGCACACGAGGTGAAAACAAACTTAATCACAATTTTGCTTCGTGACTTTGAAATTTTTTTTAACAAAATATTGAAGAACTTTGTTGTCAAACGAAGATGTTTAGCGCGAAATTTATTTTATTTATATATTATGTTTTTATTAGATCGAAACTATATGCCGATCAGACGAAAATGAACCGGGCGCTGTTGAAGAGTGTCTCAAGAGGAAATTCAATTCTGGAAGTCAAGACATGACGGATGATTGTCGTTTAGAAGTTGCCGATCTGATAGAACAAACAAAAGCTGACATTAACGCGGACCCTTTGTTGCAGAAAGCTTGCGCAGTAGACGTTAGCAAATATTGCAGTACCGTACCTCAAGGCGCGGGAAGACGTATGTAACATTTCTGTTGTCACTAATGTATGAATTTTTAATATATTTACGATATTTAAACAATCATTATATTACAGATATTATGTGTTTGCAAAATGCCTTGGAAGACAACAATAAATCCTTACAACCTGATTGTTACAAAATGTTAATTACAAGGATAGAAATGTTCAAAAACGCTGCCAAGGTCTGTAAGAAATATGCTTTATGTTTGACACATTTATTGTCTTTGAATATGTAAAAGAAATTTATATTTATCGTTGTTACAGCTGATGTCATTAAATACGTTTGAAGAATTGTATTCAACAGTGAATCGTTCCCCAGCGCGGCGTTACTTTATGATTGTTGGATGCACTATAATCGGGGTCATTTTCACCGTTGGATTGTTCTGCGGCCGAGTGACTCGACGGACGCACAAGAAGAATAAGTAACGACGTGATGTCCGTCCACTAGTGAAATGACTTTCGTGAAATCGAGGAACTATATAAAAACACGTAACACATGCATGAACTGGTCAGCTATAAAAAGAAATGCAAGTTTACGACAAATAAGAGGAGATATTGATCTTTTTATATATCTTTGTTTACGAAGTTTTTCAAGTGCGGCTCTTTGTATTTGTGATTAAAAACAATACGTGATGTGCAATGTGGTTAAATAATATACATGCAATATTACGCAGAATATATGTCAGAAATGACGCAGAATATCTAAAGATAAAGAACGCAAGATCGTAAGAGATTAAATATGAGAATGTGTATAAGTATTTAAATATTTACAAATATGCTATGTTATATTCCAAGTATCATAATTCCAAAAATACAGGGTGTTCAATGAAGTTTGTGCGACAAGTTTTAAGATTTTTACTAGAGCTTCAAGATTTTTAGGTTTTCGATTACAATCGATCCGAATATTTCAAACATATGAAAAAATTGATCTAATTTTATTTAAAAAAAAAACAGTTCTTGAAGATGTTCACAATAGGCAGAGAACCATTATGTGTAGATGTTATTTAAATCTTATATTCTATATCGGGAAAGAGAAAGAAAAAGAAAGAGTGGGAAAAAAAGGAGGGAGGGAAAGAAAAGAGAGACCAAGATTTATATATTATTTTTTTTGTGCTGGGGAAGATTTACACAATGTACAATAATTTTTAATAAAAGATTTTAGATATTATTTATTCTTCTCCTATAAGAAGATTACGTTTAAATTATATAAGCAATTCATATATATTTTTATCTCGAATAGAATTATTTAAAAGCAAACGTAAAAGTGTAATTCATTAAATAATTACGATTTTGTTTTTAGCAAAAACGCGATTTGAACAAAAAATCCTGAAACGCGCCATTTTTAAACAAATACGCCGGTTGCGCTAGACGAGTTTATATGTTTTGTCCATGTCTGAAATCAAGATTTAGATTTCATATGCGGAATTGTGAGAAGAGAAGAAACACGTATATCGAGATATTCAAAGTGGAAGTATTCCATCTTTTCTCCGAGGGTTGCTCAACTTTTACTATGCAATTGTAAAATGTGTGAGAATCATGCCCGAGAATTTCTTATAGAACTGTTCTCGAATATTCGGAAAAATGACTGCAGAATACACACAGGTCCATTATAATCGAGGTACTTCTCGGATTTATCCCGCAAGAATAATTTTGCGTAAACAAATGTGAAAATAAAACTTTCGGGCGACGACAGAGCAAAATGCATTTATATAAATTATGACTTGATATCTAAATTTTCTGTACGTTTGTGATATAAAAATTCATAAAGAGGACAAATAAAGTGTTTAAGATAGTGGTTCGAGTTCAATGACATTGACTGGGCACAAATTATCTGAGTCTTCCATCTTTAAGCTTGAGTTCCTTGCCATACACCTGACATTTAAGAACATTTTTTTTTATTACAGTATTCCTAGTAATTGTCATATTTTTCCTCGTGATTAAAATAATGAAAATTTCCGGTTTTCAATTATCGCGCATCTAAAAGCAATTATTGAAAAAATGTTTTGTTTTATCTAAAGTAAAAGCTGTTCTCTTCAATTGAAAATTGAATTCGAAGCTTATAAAAAAAACATACATGTACATATATTTACCTAAAAGAAAAAAGTCATAATATTCTACATTTGAAAAATATTACTTATATATATATATATATATATGAATAGGAAAATAATATCAGAAAGAAAACGCGATAATAAACAAAGAAATTTTTATGTATGTGAAAAAATAAAACTTTAATGTGATTAACGATTCTCTTTATATTTTTCGTCAGTTCTCTTAATATTTTTTGGACGCTTGAACCTTCATTTACTTTTATTTGATAAATGTTTAATAAATATTTGATAAATACATTTCGCATTGTGTTCGACTATTTACTGTCAGTACTGGAAATCTATAGATCAAGTGACACATATTATGAATTTACAGTAGTGGCAGTGAATTTCGGAACGCAGCTATTGTGCACGCGCCACAGTTAATCACATTCGACAATGTTCGGCAAGCTTCGGTAACGATAGAGAGAACCGCCATATTTATGTACTTCGCGCTGCGTTCTTGAGTGATTAATTCAAAAGTCTTTTGTTTTCTTTGTGAAATTTATGTCACGATTGAAAGAAATCTTGCTGAGTGAATACGTAATCAACTTAATTAAGAAATGTGTGCCGGACGCAAACATTCCGTGATATTTGCGCGATTGTTTTTACGCGTTTTGATTACACAGTTCACATGTCGGCGATCGTTTCGCGAAGAATCGAATGAAAAGGTAAGGATGCACATAGTCTGCGAGATTGAATCTTAATATCTCTGTGACAAAAGATTGATTAAAATAATTAAAATAATTGTATAATTTGTTTCTTTTAATTATTTTGTAACAGTACCAAGAAATGACACTACTATACATATTGCAATTCCTAAGGCGTGATGATGACTACTTAAATTTTCAGGTATGTTTCTGCTATTTTACTCTTTTAATGACTTTATACGATTGTTGTAAATTCTTATTAAAAACTGAAAACATTTGTTAACGTGAACTTTTTCAAATAACTTTATATATGTTTAATCGAATAGCAGCTGTTTGCTCAAATATTTAGGCTATTGTTTATTTTTTTAATAGTATCCTTATAAAGTCTGAAATATTTACATTACAAAATAAAATAACACATAACATTCGATAAAATGAGTCGTATGAATAAAGATGCCGCAAAATCTAGTGGCAAAAGATAAAAACAAGCGTTTGTTTTCAAAATAAAACTGCGGGACATAAGAACCATTTTTAAACAATTTTTTTTTTTGGTATTGTATCTAAGTATGTAATGTCAATTGTGTTAAAAAAAATAGTCGTCAAAATTTTGTCAAAAAAAAAAATAGATTTATTCATTCAGACATCTCGTATATTATCTATATGTGTATATGTTACATTTTTTATAGCACTTTGCAAGACAAATAAAAACGTAAAAACTGTGTTTTATATTCATATGTTGCACTAAAAAGCATAAAACAGTAGCGAGCAAGAAACAGCGTACAAAAGATTTTAGATTGAGATCTAAGCGTGTCGGAGGAAGCGGAAACCCCTGGCGCGAAACTCTCGGGTGCATCGGCAAGAAAGAGGGGTGGATCATGCGCTCTACGTTTACACATTGGTTTGCACGAAGGGTGGCGGGTTTCCAACCCTTGTCAGTTTGACGCCGCGTGCGAGCGCATACAGATCCATCGCGATCGTCGACTTGCGAGAGAGACACAGTTCACACAGTTTTTTTTCCAGGGCACCATTGTAAAATGATAACAATCGGCTGGACAAATCTATACACTCGATTCGTCGATCCAACTTGAACCAGACGATAAGACAATTTGGATAATCGATCGCGAAAAGAAAAAAGCTCATCGTTAAAAATTTCTTAGTTTGTACTTCAAGTGGATATATTGCATGCAGTTTTTATTAGAAAACAAAATACGGAAAAGATGTTGAAACATAGTTGGAATCGCGTGTAACCGAAACAGTTACTTTGATACATGGTTTTAATTCGATTAGACATTTCAAACATTTATGACAGATGACCGATGACGAGCGATTTGCGTATAATTGTTTGAAAATGGCTAATAAGCGGATTTCGCGGAACCGATCGAGAGATTTAAACCGAATATGAAAACGATATTGCTGATTAATTAAGCTAATTGAAAACTAACGCTTTTTGATTGGATTTTCGAGAGTTTCGTTTTTTATATTCGCGGATAAAATACGTATGTTACACGCTCTAGAAACGGTAAAGCTTTAGTAACCAAAAAAATTGGGATTAACTAACAAATATCGTTAGAGAAATTCTCTTTGAAACATTGTTTAATCCTATTGAACGTCATAGCAAAATGAATTTATAATAAAATCTGAAAATTTGATCATACTGAAAAATTTAATTTTTTGATGCTCTAGGAAATTCGCAAAACTTTTGTTCACATTAATTATTTCTCAGAGAAGATTCCTTTTTATTACTTTATTGTTGAAAAGGTTATTATTAGAGAATTTAAATCGACTATGTATAATATCTGTATGAAAAAAAATCGAATAACTGTTTCTTGAGACAATTACTATTTTGACAGAACAAAAACAATATTTCGATGCAGATTAAATTTTCGAGATCTCTTAAGTATTTTTTGTTGCGAATGAAGTTTCACAAAATCTCGAAACAATTGATCAAAAAATTGCATTAATTAACTCGTATTTGAGCATCGTGCACATCATAAAGTAGCTATTAATTTGCGTAATTATGAAACGGTGTGTTGATGTGGATTTAATTTTCACTAATGGGGATTGAATTGTGTACAATTTTTGACGTTTCAAATTTGCTTCATCTGATAGTATCACGAACATCATGTGACCTCTTGATATTTTGACAATTATTTCGATAATTATAAAGGGAGAAACGCATACATAATTTAAGTAATTTATTGTTGAAAATTTATACAGTGTATCTTTGCTCACATATATTTCATTGAAAAATGGATTTATTATTTTGAATATTGCAACAGTAAACACAATTGAAAGCATAATCAAACTTATCCAAAAGGACATGTATATGTACATATAGAATATTATATATGTTATAGACAATTATTTTTTTAAAATTATTTATTTACAAGACATGCATGTGGTAGTTACATATGAACACACAATTGGAGGTCAAACAAACAAGTAAATAATTAACTATCAGAATAAATAAATACATGTATCATGCCTGACAATTTGCGAGAGCAGCAATGTTTGGGATGTCAACATTAACATTATTAATCGCAGATAAAATGGCGCGCGCGAAACGCATTCGTGGATAAATTTGTCACATGCGCGCGTGCCAATTTTCCGTGAAAACGTCGTTAATATATCGTGAATTTTCGCGTTCTTCGTCACGATAAATTCACGGGATAATACATGACGATGTGAATGTGATTTATTTATGATAATGTGTGTGTGCGAATTATAAAATCGAGAACTCGAGAAAGAGACAAATTAGGTCGATATCATAACGCGGTGAACGAAATTTTGATCGCGACGATATAAATGTGCGCAGAATTTTCACTGAGAACAACCGGATATATGTCGTAGCAATAAAAAAAAAAAAAAACGCTTTGTTATATCGTTCTCCGGATCGAGAAAAATCGCGATTGTGAAACGATTGCGTGATATAATACCATCGATCGCGCCTACACACAGTACGATGTGTGCCGCGCGTCGGGAGATTGCTTTAATCGATCAAATCAAGTCGACGTTTTGCGAAAGATCGACACAGGACGTTCACCTTTAAACATTTTTTCGCGATATTCCGATGATCTTCGATATCCGATAATGCGTTAGCATTGGAATTGAATTTCCGTAATACACCATAATAGTACCTGAAATCGTAAAAATCAAGAGATATAGCTGGATGGAAATTAAATCGCTGTAAAAGAAAGAGAGAGGGACGCTCCCGTTTAGTAGCGTTTGCAAAAACATCTGATGGCAATTTCATCTGAAGAGCATTCGGAAATGGACAGATCGTGAAAGGTTTGTTGAAAAGTTACGTTACTTGGTAACGCAAACAAGCACGTGTTTTTTGCTTAAAAAAAATAAACACTGAAATAAAGTGTTAGCTATAAAAAAACGGAAGATAAGTTCCGGTGATGCCGAAGAGCTATTAAAAGACCGGCTCCATTAAAGAATAGACCCGATTTATCAGGATCGTAAATTTCGGAGAAATGCAAAATCGCGTAGAGATGCTAAGGATGTTATTCAATACTCGGGATTCATTAACTGTGACTTAAAAAAAAAAACGAGAGATTGCACGATGCAATCTGATTGTTCTCGGCAAAAGTTTCGACAAGAATCCGTGATTGAGTAACGTAAAAGAACTGTTAAAGCAAAACTATTTATCTTCAGAAATCTTAAAAAGAAAAAAAAACAAATTTTCCATTACACTAGTAACAAGAAAATAAATGTTAAATATAAATGAGAGAAGAATTACAATTGAGTTATAATGTTGAAATTACGTTGTGTTCTCGAAAACTATCGTAGCATTTAATAAGTGCATGTTGTCGGAAGAGAAAGAACTACTTTATGGATACGTTGACGTTGTTAAATTGACTCCAAGAGATAATAAATAATCACGCGTTATAATGTTTCGAGCATGTCATGTTACCGCAAATGGCCACTGCAAGCCATTGTTGCGAGTGAACGTTAATTATGTCGACAAGGATGCCGGAATTGAAGTTCGGGGAAACATATCGTCGTCGTGAGCAGATGTAACAAGCGGACAAATAGCACACGGAAAGATGAGCGGCTGAAGATGAGTGCGTCAGGTTATTGGTGCGCGCTTATCCTGCTCACGTTCATGCAAGACACCGTCGGCAGCTACTACGAGAAGAAGTTTCTCGAGGTCGGGAAGCCAAAAGAGTATCTGCGGCATCAGCAGAATCATCGCTCGTCGACCTTCGTCGACCACAAGCACGTCGACCCGACAGAATTTCGCGACGCAGAGGTCCGCTCGACGCTTAATAGCCCCGCGGCATTTCGATCACCGATCGCGGAAATCGTTCACTCGGATGCGCTGGACGACGTCGGAAATCGACAAGTGGAAAATCGCCATGCGACGGAAATCCATCCGTTAATCGCACGAAATCGCGTTTCGAGTCACTTCCGGCCGACGGAGATCTACTCGGGAATCCCGTTGACACGAAATCCCGATTCAGAAAATCGCCTACACGCGGAAAATTGTTCCGGAGGAAACCGCTCGAATCTTCTAACCAGCGCAAAAATGCGTTTGACGGGAAATCGTCGTGACCCGGCGACACGCTCGGTGGAAGTTTTATCCACGTCGGAACGTTACATCGCGGAAATCGCTCCCGGCATCGGCACCGAGAAAGTTCGCGCTACCTCGACGCAACTTCGCTTGGAAGAGAAACGACCCACGAGGATCCACTCCGCTGAAACGCGCTCGCAAGCGGAAGATCGTCGCGCCACGAAGGAAATTTCAGTAACAGACATTCGACCGATGGAAATCTTTTGGACGGAGATCGAGCAAGCGGAAGCGTCGAACGTTGAGCGATCGCAGATTCGGCACGGAAGATCCAGGAGTCATTTCGCGCGACAGAAGATGGAGGATGCGTCGAAGGACGGGCTGAAGAATGCGGTAAATAGGATCAAGACCGAGGATCGCGAGAATCACTTTAGGACACGCCAAGTGGAAAAAGCGAATGACTTCGCGGAGGGATCTATTTCACTGAAGCGCAAGCATTCGGTATCTCGACTTCTTGAGCGGAATTTCTCAAAGGATAACTCGGTCAACAGCCAATCTTCTGATCGAGCCGAGAATAATGTTTCAGTGGGATTGGAAAGTTTGCTCAAACTGTATCAGACAAGAAAAGAGAACGTTACCGAGGGAAGTTCACTTGTTCCTCTCACGCGTAACCTTTCTTGGCTAATCGAACAGAATTTCTCTAAGAATACCTCGGCGACTGATCGACTTCCCGACCAGATCAAGAATGACGCTCAAAAGCAACTCGAAGATATACCTAAAGCGCATTATTCGGAAAATCATGACGATTTGCGGACAAACTTCGATTCTTTGAAGAGTTTTCTTAAAGACGATCCGTTGAGTAAGTTGCGAAAATTGTCCTTGAACAAGACAGTTGCGCCGACGGTTGTAATCGATCACAACACAAATGAAACAATTGGCATTGATTTGACTGAGGATACCAGCGAGTCTTCTCACGATCTTGAGGACGAGGTTCTGCAAGACGTTGCGCTAGATTACTCAAACTATGAAGAATCATCAAACACCTCCGATCGGTCAACCAAAAAAAGACCAAACGCAGCTCAAGTTGACATAGTAACGCGTTTCTTGCGTATCATCGAGAACCAGCATACTCTGGGCGAAAACTGCACAGCTGGCACCGATTTAAACTTGGGTGAGGGCGTGGTAGACCAATATGCTCAAGAAAGATTCCGTCTGGAAGCGGAACTCGCCGTGAATCGCGCCAACATGCTCACCCGGCTATGGAAGTACGCGCCGGATGTGATGTTGTCCTCCGAGTATCTGCTTCACGCGAGCGTTCTTTCTATGGTGGAATTTGACGAGGATATCTTCGCTGCTGGTAACTGCTATGACAAGCTGCAGTATCGCGATCGCTGGCTGTATTGTCCCTTCGCTCATCGCTTACCGAATCAAGACGGCATACTCGTCAAGGATCTCGCCATCGAGTACAAGTACTTGAGTAACAGCAGCGAGTGGTTCTACATCGCCAGGAAGAACGCTGAGAGGGTAATAGCCAGCTACGAGCAATTCAGTCGAGGTATTTATCAGTTTATTATACTTGTTTATATTATCTTGATATAATATCGTCTGTTTTTGATACCTAAAACCTATGAGGTTAATACAAATTGCCAATTTATGACCGAATATATTTTTTCCTCAAGAAAAATTTAACAAATTTACACGTATAACGTATACATTTCTTTGAGAAGGCGAGAATAATTGCTATTTCCTTTTAAGAAGACACTTTTAACAACTGCTATTTTAAAGAATATTTAAAAATGTAAAAACTTTTAAAATATGAATATACAAAAATCAATAATAATTTAATGAATGGACTGCTGTTATTGATTCACGACCATTAAAAGATTTGAGAATTTTATAAACTTGAAACTGAACACATACAGCACTCTTTATTAACTCTCTGAGATAGATTCAATTGATAAAAGTTAATTAAATACTTGTTGCGGTTGACCAGGGAATGTTAACAAGTTTAATTAAACAATATCCTGTGAAAAAGTCACGTTAGTTTTCCAGCAGAATTTACATGTTTTATGTCTGACGATTCGCCAATATCGTCTTCGTAATCTATGTAATTGTGTAGGTTGAGAGTTGAGCAAGTCGATAACAAAACGGGCGCGAACGTCCGCGGATGCCTGCGGGCAATATTACAACAGCCATGTACACTCGACAGCAGTCAATTAGTTTAGCAGCAGCAGTAATCAGTAGTTACATAACTACAACGTGCTGTAATTATAATATTATGTGCTGTGTTGTATTACTATTTCGTATGTGTGTATGTTTGAAATGTAAAATGAAATATGATAATACATAATAATAATAGTTTTATATTATTGTTACGTATTATAGAATTATATATGTGCGTATAGTATTTCGCTTATATATTATATACGTATGTGGTATTATATTCACACATATGTAAATTTTCTCTCTTTGGCCAGAAATCGAATCTGAACTTCCGGTCAGGTTTGGCTAAGGTGTTTTTTTCTTGCAAATTTTTGAATTTCACAGGAAGCAAACAGAGGTTATTTCTATATACAAAATGCAAACTAAATATCTAGGTTTTCGAAATAAATTTTTTTTATAACTCGAATTACAATGTGTATTATTTTACACGTTGAAAGATATTTTGCACGTACATCCAGCGTTTGGTTCTTACTGATCTTATTATTCCTCTCACACAAAAATTACAGTTTTTTACCTAGATTCTACAGCGAGAAAAGATATCATATCCCATGTGCATGTGTTGTGTCTGTGTGTGTGTGTGTGAGCGCACTCGCGTTTACACTAGCAAATGTTCAAACTGTTGACCTTCTACAGTTTGATAGTAAGCCGAAAGCAAAAACTGCTGCTAACGTTTTCCAATATTTTTCCATCATAATGTATATTCAATGTGAGCTATTGTCAGCATCAGTTATTGATTTTTGTTTTTCTGGTCTTTTAATTGCTAGTCGATATCATGCGTATAATTTGTGCCGATATCACGATCATCAACGTATTGTCATAATCAGCCAACGTCGGCTACCGTCGCTATCGTCAAACTGTGTATGAGAGTTTACCTAATTCGCGCGCTCATCAAAATTCGGCGATCCGAAAGCGCCAATCAGAGAATCGTCATTTTAGCGAGAGTGTTAAATAAGGCTATTTCTGAATAACTCGCAACATCGAATTATCACTGAAATAGCATTAATTACTTTCTCAAAATGTTAGAAAACTGATTCTTGCTTTCAAGACACTTTTGTTTTTTATTGCAGCTATGAAATTATTTTGTTAGAAGTCGGAAACGGCATGTGCAAATTATATATATATTTTCTTCTAATTTATTCGAAATAAATTAAAACTCTGGAATAATCACTTTTGGTAGATAATTACTTATATATACTTTTATTTATTACGTTGCATTAATATAAAATATGTATATAATTTGATTTAAGTGTCGTACATTTTCACCAGAAATAGGACAAGAAATAGGACAAGAGTTATTAATTTATAAAACGAAAAAAAAATTTCTTAATGTATTTTTATCTTTTTTAAGTGTACGTATCTTATCGTTGACGACGTAAAAAGCTCGTTTATTTTATTTATTAACCGCAAGAAAAATATTTACATGATATCCTTCTTCCGACTATATAGTTCAATGTGGCTGAAGTGAGGAGAACGGGAGTTTTCAAGCATTTTTCTGTATCATTCTTTTCTGTTTCGTATATTTGTATGTTTGGCTGCAAGATCGTGATGCTTACAGACTCCCGCGGGGCAACGTCTTACTTGCCTTTTGAGCAAACTGTTCCATTTTTGCAGCCACTATAATTACATTTTTCATTTTACGTGATCCGTTTATTGCGTGGAAGGAGAGCATTGTGCAAGAATTGTTATTGCTATATCTAATAGTATGTAATGTACTTATGATTAAAAAAAAACTGATATTTGTTTAAAATTTAATGGATCATTTGTGGAATATGTAGTTTTGCAGTCAGTGAATTTATAAAAATAATATTATATACATCTCGCGCGATGAAATCTTTGACGTAACACATTTTTAGATATCTTTTGCATGGCGTAATAACCAGTTGCACGAAGCAATTCACGATCCCTTCAAGTTTTCAAAGAACTTTAATTAACGATAAAAACGTGTGTATATATATAGAATACAATCGTTCCCTTTAAACGAGGTTCACTCCATAGTCCGAGTTGTTGTTGGTAAAAGAGAGAAGAAAATATAATTTCACGCTTACTTTGGCACGCAAAGAAACAACTCTCCACTAAATCGTAGTAAACATCTTTGAAGAAAAAACCTTCTCTCTATCGCCAATATCTCTTTTTTTCTTATTTTAAGTTATTTAAGTTTAACTCGCAAAATATTGCTTTCTTCAGTAAGCGATTCAAGCTCGTTAACCCTTTTCGTGTAACTTTTTTAATCTCGCTGATCCGAGATGGTCGTTTTTCTTAAAATGCATGCAAAGAAAGAGGGGAGAGAAGTCATATATAACAAGTGCACTTAGAAACGCGAAAGACAGTGACGAGCGTTTTTTTCCGACAAAATTTAATTATCTTTTAAATATAATAGCGAAATGTTCTCTTTGTGGTTTTTACTTTTTTGACAACAAAAATATCGTTAATGTGTTAAATAAAATATAAAAATTATTATTCTGTTAACATTTCTTGTCGGTATTACGTGTATTGAAAAAGTAAACTTAAAATTAAAATTTATTTTAATTTTATTAAAATTACGTTAAAAACATATTTAGAGCTTTTCATCATACACAAACACACACACACACATATATGTGCGTGCGCAAGAAAAGATTAAAATTTAATAAGTTCAGTAAGTAAAAAAATTCGCTATCAAAGGGGAAAAGATAAATCACGAGAAAAAGCACATCTTTATATAAGACATCTGTTTTCTTACATAGAAAAAGCAGATGGGATTGTAGATACGGTGAAATCGAAATATATGTTGGCAATAATCTAGCAACCAATAGGAATTTTCCGAAGTAGAAATAGCAGAGGTCCTGAATAGAATTCTCGTGAATAAGAAACGAACAGTGTTTCTTAGACGGTGCGAAGTGAATCCCTCTACGGCAAACTTTTAAATCACAATCAGCTGGCAGATGGATCTTCTTAGATTTGAGTCTGCACGTGAATGTGGTAACATCTGTAAAAGGGTAATACATTAAAGATTAAAAGGCTAAAAAGGGAAGTAATTTATTTTAGCGCTCTTATTAAATGTCGGCAATTCGCTAGATAGACGACTTAAAAAAAAAATTATCCTACATCACGATTTCACTTGTAACAATTTATTTGCAAAGTCTTGCTGTGTGTTCTCACCGTGTCGAAATTGATCTCATTACTATGGTTCGCCGAACTCTTCTCGTCTCGCAACCTGAGAGCTCTCTTGAGAAATTCTCGTGTTTTGAAAACGAGCATATCGCTCACACTAACCGCCGCTGTATTTTCATATTACCGCAGGTAATACGAAAAGTGTGACTATTTGCAAGTACAATAACAGAAGAAACACGATAGCAAAAAGTCGCATTTAGAATAACATTTTTTTTTAAATAACGTTAATAATTACTGCGATATATATAAAATGCGAAAATATACGTGAATAATTATTTATACCGCTGCAGCGTGACGATACGTCATTAAAAGAAAATGTTTCAAAAAAAAGTGACGAAATACGATACTATATCGGAGATCTCCTTACTTGCAAAGTTAGTTCAAGAAATATGAGAAGAATACGAAATCTGTTTAAGAAATCAGACGGTGAGGAAGTGATACGAAGGGCGTCGATGAATAATATGTTATGGCAACAGAAATAGAAGAAACTGCTGAGACGTTGTTTTTCTTATTTATACGAGTTTTAAGCAATATTCTGTGATATACGTTGTAGATAACTTTGAGCCAAGAAGACGCGTTGAAGTATGCGTTACATGCACAGAGATAAAGATTTCGCGATATATCCGTCGAACGTTATTACATGTATTATGCACATATTCATCAGACAGAAAAGTTTGAGAGAAAACGAGTTTTACGATAAAGAAAACAAAAAAAAAAAAAAAATATATAAAGCGCGCTGTGTGCGGATATAGTTTTTCATATGCGTCACGTGTAAAGTTAAGAACACAATCAACTGTATAATAGAAGGTCAATTTCGATGAGATAGTTTTTCATATCGCGTTTTCGACCGCGAGAGTGAGGAATCGCGCACAATTTTTGTTGTGCTCCTGGGAAATCTCAAAAAAAAGATAAAACAAAAACGCCAACCGGGCCAAAAACTGTTTCCGTGACATATATAACGCGACTTGAAAAGTTATTGTAACACATCATATATTTTCATTTTCATCACGCGGGGGAAGAGGGGATACTTGCGTGTTACGATATCATCCGTCATTTATGTTCGCGCGCGAAATTACGAGACCTTTGTTATGCGTTCGTATTCGCAATATGAATTTAATACCGAACCCTTTGTGCACGGCTCGGCACGTTAAATTAGAAATTCAAATAACCCGATCATTTCGC